TTAATTTATTTCATTAACCTTTGTTATTAATTAATCGATGAATAACCCGTTTCAAATGGATTGATGCATTATTTAAAATTCATATGAAGAAACTATTTCGTATGGATTTGGCATTATTGACAGCAGTCGAACTTAAATTCAACGCGGTGTTTTTCGAAATTTCCAAATTTTTGTTAATTACAAACTTAGTTATGGCACATAGGAGATAAATGAATAATACTTGAAACACATAAGAAAGAGAAAGACTAAAATTATTGGTATACTTTCAGTACAGAGAATGAGGGCAAAAGTGTTGGATCGCTGGGGAGCATTAAATAGTGATAAGCTAATAGTGACCAACTATAATTTCCCATAACCGAGGAAGGAGAAAAAATAGTACGAAACGTTATACCGAAAGAAATCGAGTGGATAAGAAAATTGGCCATTCCGACTTTTGAATGAGACTAAAAAATATTTATTTTTACTAGTTCCAACCAAAGAAATTTTTATAATGGAGTTGGCTAATCAAAGTTTTACGTTAAAGATTTTATGTGTGATGACCTAGTCTTGATCATAAGGAATCACTACGCAAATATTTCAATATCGTGTAGATTTATAAATCACTCATTGACATTTGCAATTTTTCTGAGTTTATATTATGACCGACAAATTAAAAATTCTGAAAAGAGATTGTATTGATTTAGAACAATACGTTTTTTCTGTCACTTGAATCTTCTATAAAAACGGTAACCGCTGAATAACTGCTGAGTTGACAGTTAACTACTTAAAAATATGCTCATATTTATGTCTCATTTGTGTTATAATCGCATTAGCAAATTTGTATTCTGCGTAGATTCTTTGATAATTATTTTTTAATATACACACAGTTATTAGTATGATTGTAGAGGAGATGAAGTAGTATTACGCACCGAGGCTCTATTGTATTATTTGATGATAATCTCGTAAAAACGCAAGGGTTCGCATTTCGTTTTTTTTTTTTAATCTAAAGCAAGATTTTTAGGTGTACTATCACCATTAGCCACAAATAGATACTTCGAATTATTGTTTGTATGAGATAATAGATGAAAGCAGTGGTGTTCCGTGCGCAAGGCTTCCCCATCTCCTCCTACCATGAATCTTAGTAGCCGCATCTTTTAGGTTAATATTTATGTTCTAGAAAATATATACTTTGGTCAGTATATAAACAACTGTTTGGTCAGTATTTTCTCTAAAGAAATGTATAAAGTGTCAGCATATTTATCAGAAATACTGCATATTTTAGTCAGAATTTGAAAAAAATTAACATGAAACAGTAAAATTAAATCAGAAGTTGTTAGAAAAACAAATGTTTAATCTGTTGTGAAAATTTATTCCGTAGCATATGATTTAATGCAAACCTACGATTCTCCATATTTACTGACCAAATTGCATATTCAATGACAAGCTATCTTAAATAGTGATTAAAATGCGTATTTCCTTTTTAAATTACATAGTCACATTCATTCCAGTCCTACTCAAGTAATTTTTTTTTAATCATCCCTGTTTGTCTTCTTTGGCATTATCCATGCACTGAGTGATACACGAGTGATTTTGTGCTACTTTCTCTTCCTATTACCATTCAGTTTCATTCTCAATGTGAAAAGGATAAACTGTGAAATTATGACGAAAAAAATGTAAAATTTTCAGAATAACAAGAAAGCACTTATTGATTGATTAATATTGATTGATGAATAAACAAAAATAAAAAATGGCGCGTTCTATTATGAGCTTATTTTACTCTGTAATTTCTAAGGTAAGTAGAAAATACTGGCAATCTGCTGTTTTAAATCGATCACTACGTGCTGAGTATTGAATGCCGATTCCTCAGGCACCGATTTGCTTGGGACAACTTTTCGGCTACCCCGAGTTCTAGGTGACTTCTTATGTAATCTCTGCTCCAACTAAACATCGAAACAAACTAACAGATTTCACAACGATTTGGGTATTTCGTTCGTACTTAGTGCAAGAATTTCGTGTAATATGTAAATAAAGTCCATTCTTCTGCCTTCAAAGTGTTTATATATTGGTGAAACTTTAACCGAATTCACATAGAACGAGATGTAATCATATCTGCACAACCGATGACTGTATCTGAAGCAGAAGTTGAATGCCATTCTCAATTGGTCTTGATTTTCTCAGTTATTGCAAAAAAAAAGATTTATGTTCCAAAGGTGAAGACAACAGACTAAAAGTGCTCTGACTGATAAAAGTCCAGTACGGCTCGGTAAGGTGGGTTAGAGGTGTCGCAGTATATTACAAGTAAGAGAAATCTTTCTACAAATATCAAAAATATGGAAGGATTAAGCAATGACCTATAAAAATGTGGCATATGTGCATTAAAACTAAGCACACGCTTTGCGTTTTAACAATAAATGTGGCAATTTTGAAGAAAAGTAAAATTTAAATTGTTAACTTTACCTTTGCCATATCTCTTCCACCCTAGGCAATACTAAAAAAATGTGTTTATGTGTACGAATGATAAATGTTGTGTCTAAAAAAAAAATGCCTTGACGTCCGTACATAAACACCGCAAGGAAAAGTGGCTTCCCGAGTGATTTTTTCCTGAAGCACACATTTCTGGACAATGTCCCTGTGCGCTGCTATTAAGGAACAACGGCCAATGAATATGTGGCCAGTTTTTTTCCAATACCGTTACCAGAATTAATCAGCGGATGGTGCAGCGTCTCTGAGAGTGCGATCAGATCGTTTCCTACGAGTGAACTTGTTCGACCACTTTCGAGACCTGGAAAGAGCCCTACCACACACCACCGTTTACTCTCCCCCGAGTCGAGCCACCTTAGCTCTCTTTACTTCAGGGCGAAGCTGCTATTGTATCCCCTTCAGGATTATAACTTCTCATTAGCCAAGTTAAGGGCATCAATCTCTGTAGAAGTGTCCAATAAATGGGACTTAGTACGCGTAAAACTCTGACAAAGCGAATCAAGGTTATACTTGAGGTTATAGAGTTTTCTAAATTAGAATATTGATAATATTGTGGAGAGTGGTTTGGATGTGACCCAAAGATGTGATCGCGTTACTTACTTTAACTTACTTTAATGGCTTTAACATCCCATTGAGGAACACAGCCTTCTCCATTAAAGGAAATATCTACACAAGTTTACGTTTTACAGTGTCAGATTGTTAGCTTGCCGACGAACCATAAGTGGCTCTAACTCCAACCTTTATATATATACAGAGACTGGGCGCAAGACAATTCCAGTGAAGCGTATATTTCAACTGGAACATTCAATAGCAACCCCATTGTGGCTGCTATAATTTGCCATTGAAAGGCTTTTTTGCACTATGCTGTGTCGAACAGCATCGAGAGTCACGCGCGTTGACCACTGAGCCACAACTGCTCCCGATCGCGTTACGTAACTGGTAATTCAAAAGTTAAAACATTCAGGAAATTTATAAGGATATATGACGGGTTCTGGATCTTTACTATTAAAACAAGTCTGCTAAGACAGAATTCTGTACAAAAACTTAAATCAATTCTGTTAAGAACGCACACAAACGGTTACGAGAGTTGATTTGGGGTAACAGAGCAAGGGAGAGGGGATAATATGGTTTGAAAAAGGGTGTACATTTTTTCGGAAGTGTTGGGAAGTGGAAGTGTTCTAAAATTCAAAATAATCCTCAAATTACATAAATTCTTTCCAGTTTTTCATAGTTTTCAGCGTCATAGAGGACAATAAACATCCGAAAATATTTCTGTATTACCTCTAAATGCTTCTAAGCAAAGGAATCTTTGATTTCTTTGCGTGAAATGTATTATGAAAAACATCGAATAGATGCTTTACTGCGATACTGTTCATGACTTCGGAACTCTCCTCGGTTTTTCTCTAACACAAAGACTGGTCCGTATTTCTAATACGATCATTGGCAATTGTTATTGATGAGCGGACCTAATGCCGCACATATATTGATTCTGGTTTTCCCTGTTTTCCCGGTTCAGGAAGCCAGTACTGCGGCAGAACCTTACGAGTTGAAATTTTGATATCAATTTCAACACAGAAACTGAAACGAGCTATTTATGTCCTTTCATTCGGTTGGTAGTGCATTGAATAGGATCGTAAATATTCTCTAGTGGTTCATTTAAGAGACCCGGATAGGATTTGAGGCTTTGATTTAAAAAAAAAAAAAAACATTGTAAAGAAATTTTGCATTGCAAAGGCAAGATTTCCTAAATTTGATTTAAACGACATTTCCAAACATAATCTCTACGATATCTCATCGATTTCCATACAAAATAATCATATTGCAAGTTTCTTAATACGTAAAAACAGATTTTCCTTCTCATAATCTACGAAAGAGTATGTGAGTATAAAATCTTTTCTGATTATTTTCTCATAAATAGAAGAAAATTAGTGAAAGTAGTGTTGGAGGTGGAGGTAGTATTAACATTTTTGTGGGACTCTGCGGAAGAGTTGGTAGTGTCAGGAGTCCACCATATAAATTTGGAAGTGTATGGAATATACACTTCCATATATACATGGCATATCCATTTGTGTGCTTACATCTTTTTCATGGTATACATTAACTCTTACTCGGAAAAGTGCATTACTTCCAAGATTCACCACAAAATGGATGTATTTGTACTTATGCAATTCAAACTTACCAAAGCACATTAGATTATAAGCATACGCTAAAATAAAACTAGATTGGAAAAGTGAATGAAAAAACTTGATTGAAGGTTCGACCGCTTATGAGCAAGAGTATGAATGAAAAGCGGGTTTTCAATCATAAGCTTGTTTGGCGGAAGAGATTAGATAGAAACAAGCTTATGACCGAAAACCCGCTTTTCATTCATACTATTGGATGAATAAGAATTTGTTTAGTGAAATGTCTACTTCGGTTGTAAACAAAATCTAGTTTTCGTTATCACATATGCCATTCGCATTACTTACTTTAATGCAATGCACTTCTGGGTTCTTCTGATATTTCAAAGCGTTTGTAGGTGGCGCTAACAATGTAATCCGTCTGTTCATGTTGGTATTATTGTGTAATGGCTGCCGTGCGTTTTCCATTTATCCAGTCTGTTTTTTTTAGTCATTTTGATTACGCCGAGAATCCTGCCAACCCCAAGGTTTTCGCAGTGTTATATTTGGTGGCCGTGCGTGCGTGAATTACGCTCATGGCAAGCTGAAATGCTGGCACAGTCCAGCTTAGGTATAGACTCTATTGCTCATTAAAGGGGCGCCATTATGTCGAGGGGCGACTGCGTACGGCTACGCAGCGGCCGTTCACCCAAGCGACGTTCTGTATTGTTGGTCTGCCGCCGGCCGCCCACCTACTGCAGTATTGTGCTTCTTATCTGCCTTGAGACATTTCTCCTCTTCGCCGTCTCCAACTGTGCCAAAACATTCTACATGCATTGGAACACAACGAACAGCATGTGAGTGAAACGTTCACACCTATGAATGCGATAACTAGTTCTTTATTTTCTTTATTAATTAATTACATCTAATGACATTGTTGGTTGTCTGCCATGAGTGCTTTATTCTAAATCATTTAACTTTTCTGTATATAATTGTCTACACACGCATATATATATATATATATATATATATATATATATTAATATATATATATATATATATATATATATATATATATCTGTATGTATGTATATATACATATAAATAAGTCATATTCTGTTTTCTTTATATGAAATTTAGAAAAAGTCAATTTTTGAACCTTCAAATTTATCATGTACTTAATATTATTCAACTTAAAAGTGCATAAAAAGAATACTAAAAATATGGTACAAAATATGTTAAGACATTTACCGGCCATTCCGTGTTCATCCAAATATATCACAATTTTTTTAAATTAAGTTCTAAAAATGTGAGTTATTTTATAATCTAATTTGATTCTGCTCAGACTTAAGTTGTTTAGAAAGTTGGTACAAAACAACTTCAAATAATTTTGTTATATATTCTTATCACCAGTTTCCGGATAGACAACACAGACCACATCATTGATGTGAATAAGGGTAATCTAGCGTTCGAATACGATCAGGTGCACATCATATGTCCAGTGTACGAGCCAGGCACATTTGACAACGAGACTGAGAAGTACATTATCTACAATGTGTCGAAAGCTGAGTATGAGACATGTCGTATCACGAATGCTAATCCACGCATTATAGCTGTGTGCGACAAGCCACAGAAACTCATGTTCTTCACCATTACTTTCCGCCCCTTTACACCTCAACCCGGCGGATTGGAGTTCCTGCCCGGAAATGATTATTACTTCATCTGTAAGTTTAAATTAAAATATAACTGCAACAGTTTAATCAGATTTAAATGAATGGCAATAACTTTAAAGAAAATAATTATCAGGTGTACAATTGGGTAAAATCATCTGATTTTGAAATTAGTCATTTAGTTTTAGTGTGACCCATACGGCATAAATTCTCATTATGACCAATCTAAGTATTTCACTTCATGTTCGCACTTCATTAAAAATTTTTAAAATTCTTAATAAACAAAACTGTTAGTAATAAATTTCTTCGTGCCAATATCTGTACAATTAATACTACGAATTATATAGTTGGGATTTACATCACAGCAAATATCTGTAATCGTGCAAAAAAATGAACCTCGCAGAATCAATTCCAATCGAGTCAAGTAATTTTAATATAACGAAAATGGAGAGGGACACTTTTTTGTTTTTCGTGTCTGTTTGTCGTCTGTCTGTTCGTCGTGATAAACGTGCTTGTAGCGCCTAAACGGTAAGAGATATCGACACGCGGTTTGCGGAAAAGGTTAAAAATATGCAGTGGTAATGAAGATTTTTTTGACAAATCCAACCCCCCACCCCTCCGTCCGCCATTTTGAACTCCCCCATAATACACTTTCCTCAATTGTTCATCCCCTATGGCATGAATCGGGCTCAAATTGTGGTATGTTATAGCTGACCTCAAAATATTTCCAACGAATCCCCACATAAGGACCTAGGACATTCCAGACCCTAGATAGAAGAGTTCAAATTTCAAAAATAAAATGGCCATAGCTCCGCTTCTAATTAACCGATTGGAATGATTTTGCATTCAATGGAACGGTCTTGTAAAATGCCATCTCCCACACGAGCAAAATAACTTGGTAGGACCGCCGTTAGAGGCGCTAAAGTCGGAAAAACCATTTTCAAAATAGACGAACTCGAAAGCATTTTCTTTAAATTTAAATATGTTGTAACTGAGGTCAGGACCTTTACAACGAACCGTTAATTTTAGGGATCTATTCATTAGGAGCGGAGATATGGATTAGTTCACACCTTTACCGGCCCATATCTCCGCTGTATACCAAGCGAGTTCAATAATAGTTTCACCAAAAGACGTCTCTGGACGCCCTTTAGTAGACCATATTCACCATTAGTCTGTAACGTCAAACCGAATGCCTTTATATTGAAAAACCTGTGAACGCCCGTATCTCAGCAACTATTTCATGCATTTTCGTTAAAATCTAGTATCTTGTAGTCCAGGGCAGAATGTCTCTAAAAATAAGTATTTGATTTTTGTGGATGCAGTAGAACCGGAGTTATGAGGATTTAAAGTTATAATTTTAAATTTGCCATAACTTTGGTTCTATTTATTCAATCTTAATAATTTTGTGGTTCGTTGGAAAGCTCTTGCACAGCTCTACGACTATTTAGAACAACAGAAGTTCATCAGACCATCGCCAGAACCGCTAATGTCAATAACAAATTTTAATGAAAAATTTTGTTTTTAGGTCACACTACTTTGAGATCACTTCTTACGTATTTCGATAGTCCGGATCGAGACGTTTCCAAAATAGGGTGAAACTTTTCTATCGAAGCCATAGAACCAGAGTTATAACTGTGTGATTTTCAGGACTTGGATTTTATATTGCATATGAAAATTTTCATGCTTTCTTTCCTTCTAACTAAATCGAGTTGGCCACGGAAGAAAGAAATTTTATAATCCAACTAATATACCATAAGCACATGCGAAGCGTGTGCTTATCCACATTTTTTGTCATGGAAATTCCTTTGTACGTCACTAGTTTTCCCCATTTTGACAGGGTTTCACCGAAATTTGAATCAAATGTTTTTTATGACTATAGTTGTATAATAATGTTGAAATCACATTGTTATTCTTAGAAGAACGAGTAAAGAAAAATTTGCCTATGTAGTCTTAAAATGGAACAGCTGAGAGTGATTGTGATGTCTACTTTACGATACAATTAGTTTAAGTTACAGTTTTCCCTTGTGGTCAGACAGAATACAAAGTCTAAATAAAGCCATGCGGCATTTCATTGCTTGTTAACCAAGCTATGGACTGAGTTAGGACTAGTATATGCTGAATTCATGATTCAAAGAATGTGTATGAGCGTGAAAAGAAATATTAATGTAGGGACTAATAGACATTGCATAGCGATACAACGTTGCGTTACAATGTATCGCAAAATTTTTTGCCATGTAATATTTGGCCAAAACACGTAAAATATGTGTTTTTTTTATACAATACATATTCATTTTCAGCGTTAACAAATCACAGTCTTTAAATTATTTTCAATCGAAAAGACCACAAACAAATCTCAGAAACGATCAAAGAAATTTTTATGATCTTGTGAAAAATTTTCAATGCATTATTTTTACGGTTAATCAAAAGCACAGTGTAGGGGTAAGTGGGGCAGTTTCAGATTCAAAATGCTGTTCCAACTTTAGGTTTTTTTCTTGAAACATCGGCTGAATATATTGAAATAATCACAACGCTCAAATAAACTCTCGTCTATTGAGCTTCAGAAAATGCCTTTCATTGAGCATTAAAACTGATCCTTTTTCCTCTAAAGGAGAATGAAAATAATATTGTAATTTAACTGATTGCTGTGGGGCAGTTCTAGATTTTCACTTATATTTACCACAAATTCCATTGTGCAATTGTTGAATCGCGGGCAAATGATCACTTTGATATCTATTCTACATACTAAAACTGTTTAATTCCCTAAAAATCGCCTTTAAAGTAATATTTTCGCGACTTTTCTGGACCCTTGCACGTACTGTCAAAATTTCTGAGCGAGAAGCAAGTTGCCCGTCATTTTTCCTGTATTGCATCGCCACCATGCGTCAGTGGTGGCGACTTGACGCACCGCGAAAGTTCCGCGCAAAATGTGCTTCTCGAAATTTCTGCTCTAATCAGTGATTTTCGCGTGTATTTTCTCACTTTTCAACGAATAAGTCGATTAACGTGATGAAGCAATGCAGCACAGAGCAACATTTTGTGAAAAACCTTCAATATTTTCCACAAGAATATTTCGACCGTGATGTTGCGTCAGACTGTCAGAGCGAGCTGTTGTCAGTCCGTGGCGATCCGAAACATCCCCGCGATGGAATCTATATCTGCCCCGTGGGTAGTGTTTGTGCATTTTCCACCACCCACTGAAAAGGCCGTGCCAAGGAGGAAAAGTTCGGGCACATTTATGATCTCTACTTAATTCTCAATATCAATATCAAAACACACAATTATTTCGGCAGCAAAATTCAAGTTTGTGAGTGATTTTCAATTTTCACTTATTTTCTCTAAACAGTAAAGGCAATCCTGAGCAAATTTTCGTCAATTGTAGTCCTTAAGGACTACAAACATTGTGTGAAGACTAGAATTGATTCATGTGAAAATCTCTGAGAAAATTAAAAAATCTGAAACTGCCCCATTTACCCCTATACATTTATCGTAGCTTCATTTGTGGCCATCGCCGTCTGAGGGTTGGTGACCAACCACCAGGACAAAACGATGAAAAAGTTCCTTTATTGGTTGAATATTTTACGAATCCCGCGGGGATGGAGGACGCTGGACTAGTGGTTCGGAATGCTTACTGAAAGTGGACAGAAATCTAGCCGTTGCGGCTGATTGGCTCCGTGAGTTGATAAATGCGAAGTACCGAGGGGTTTTTGCGCCACACCTGATTTAATTAAATCTGAGACGAACTGTAATATTAATTCAACGTAAATTCCAATTTTGTATTAGACACTATGCGTTTAATCCATTTTTTAAGCGTTCACACTATCAAATTCTTACGCACCCTCATTAGCAATGAAATGTCGAGTTAATAAAAGATTTAGTTTTTAGTCAGAGCCGACCGAAGTTGACCAACTCGCTTGTGCCTCGGCGTACACAGCATAAACGCCACGATTTACAATGAATTCTGGGGTTACTCTCGCCTCTACCAAGGTGTCACTGGAAACAATCGCAATGTTTAACTCATAAATTGCTGCTAGTGCTGGTGGTTCAATTAATAATATTAATCAATATTCATATTTTTGGTCGAGGTGAGAAAAGAAGACGCCAAAGAGGGTCAGTAAATACGAAAGTATACAAAATTTGCATTGACGTTGCTATCATGTCGTCTACTTTTCTGCATTAGCACAACCGCTATTCTTTGTATGACCCATAATAGCGCCCTAATGTAGGCAAATATGGATAAATTGCTCTAAAAAGCTAGAATTTTTCTTAAAATTGCACCAATAATATTTGCCAAAAAACTGAATTATATTAATAATTCTTGGATACGTCCAGATACAAATATTAGCAAAATAGAGTGGGTTTTTCATTATACTTGGAAAAGTGAGCCTCCATGCTCTTCCTAAATACTTTTAGGTTTCAACTACACCCTTTTTGTTTTTAAATAAACAATATTTGATTAGAAAGATATAGGATTAACAATTAGTAATAAATTTTCATTTTATCTATTTTCTATATTATTTGATATTTTTAAATTACAGCCACATCGTCTAAAGATGATCTTCACCGTCGCATCGGTGGTCGCTGTTCCACAAATAATATGAAGGTAGTGTTTAAGGTATGCTGTGCCGACAAGAGAACGCTCACTCAGACGGAACGAAATTCTACGGCAGATAGGAATAGCACTATTCCTTTTGTAACAGTTGATGGCAGCGGTGTGGCCATTAACACGGGTGCTGAAGCGTCACCGCCATTATTACCTAGCATTAATAGCAGCGCCAGCAATGTAGTACAATCTACAATGAGTTGGCCTACATGGCGCGGTCATGAGGAAACCCGCAATATTACTACATCACCCAGGCCTACGATCAACAATTCTGTAAATGTAAACAGCAATCACTCGCCGTCCCATAAGCCAACAAAAAAGACAAGTGAGTATATTAAAAGTTATTTTTAGATATATGTTTCGGTTTACTTCTTTTGAGTCGATCTCAAACTTGAATTTATGTATATTTTCCATACGTGGTTCAAGCCCACAAGAAATCAATATCTTTCCAATTTAATATATATATATATATATAGATCTCGCAATAACCATACGAAATTATTAATTTCAAAAATTAAAGTTAGCGTCCGCCCTGGATATCTGGCTTCCCTCTTGACAAGGAGTGTTCGACCAGACTGCGGGGACCTCTCGTCCCTAGAGTCGAGCATGAAACCTTTTTCCGTACCCTCTTTGTCATGGGTGTGTTGCTCTATAATGTCCTCCCGCGTAAGGCACGCGAGACGGTGGGTGGCATCGGGCGGTAATTTCGGGCTGTTGATCTCATTGCGTGAACTTTTTCAGTGCAAAATTAGTCATTTTATTACTATTATTATTTTTATTATTCTTTTTTACAATTTTGTAGGGTTTTGCAACCTAACTTTTTTCTTTTCTGTTTTGTCTTACACTACTGTTCTACTCTTTCATTTTTGTCGATTCCTAGTTGTATTAGATTAAAAACGGAACGGCCCTTCTTTTTTCTTCACTCGTTTTTATTCTACTATCGACGTTTCGGAGAAATTTTTCTCCTTCTTTGGGGATAATGAAAATTAGGGGTGAAGTTGGTGAATTTAGTTCTCCTCTCACTACTTAACTCACTCCACTCCAACTCGTTTGCCTGCATTCTCTGCACTCACCTCTCCGAAACGTCGATAGTATAATAAAAACGAGTGAAAAAAAAAGAAAGGCCGTTCCGTGTTTAATCTAATACTCAATATCCGGCTGATAACATGACAAACGATTCCTAGTTGTTTCTTTCTTTTTTTCTCTTTTTCACTCTATCTCTCGCAAATTGTAAGAGGGTTAGGCCCAAAATTTTTGCTTTATCTATAAATAAGGAATAAATTTTAAACTAAAGAATTAAATTGCGTTAATTCTGATTTATAGAATTTGTCATTAGAAAATATGTGTCGTTGAAACCTTACTGTTTTCGTATTCCAGTCCGTATAAATCACTAATCCGTTTTTGGAACTTAACGTCTTCATATATTATATTGGTGGCCTTCCGGCGACTGCTAGTGTAAAGTACGAATGAAATACGAACGAGAAGGTGTTGCAAGATGCAGTAGGGACTTTAATACGAATTTCAGCTGTCAGAAAGTCATTTCATTGCGGCTACTTTTGAGCAGCCGTAAAGGGCGAGATTTACATTTTGAGGGTTTTTTTTAGAGTAATATATTCCGACTTCTGCCCAGTTTTTGACCAATTTTCCGCCACGTGGAAGTTAGGAAATGTTCTATATTGGAAGTGAAGCGCAATTTTCCGTGTTTCTCCGAAACTAATCTCAAGGAACTTCTAGGACTAGGATGCTTTCAGCGCGAAGAATGTGTTCAACAGGCCGAAATAGTGAATCCCAGTCAGGACAAGACATCTTCATCCGTGACAGTTCCTAACATAGGGCGTATTTCCGATGGGATTCTCGAAGGAGTCTGCTGGTCAGATTGTCCGGAGAGATGTCTTTGTTGTGACATTTTCCTTTAGCCGCATTTTCGTGCGTATCACAGCATGTACGCGTGAACAATGAATTGAATGAAAACTTAGCTTTTCATGTACTTGAAAATATGTTAGGAAACCAATTAGTTTCCTTGAAGAAGGCCGGATGATGTTCGGAAGCACATAACCTCAATCTTATGCATTGAAATGCACACAAATGGCTAAAAATCCAATAAATATGTGATTATTTACATATAAACATAATGAATGTCTATTTTCTTGATTTTCACGAGAATTTTTCTGGCTTGTATTACTTTGGACAAACATATATTTTTTGTGAACAAAAAATATGAATTTACGTCAAGCCACAACGTTTGAAACATTTTAGGCTTCGCGGTAGATAAATTCAACACAATAATATAATATACTAATCGCAATCTTACAACGCTTATTAGTGAAATCATATTGATGACAGCTTATTTAAAATATCATGAGCGTAAAATTGCAACGACCAATTAATTTGAGAATTTTTTTGATCATATGTAAACCATACCAAGTACCATATGGTCTGCTTGAAATTCTTGGGAGTAAGTCTGAAAAATGTATATAACTCGCTATATATTATACCGCTTTTTCAATATAACCCTAAGATATTTGGGGATATGTTAATGAAAACGTACCAATTTCTCTAAATATATTATGAACACCATTTTTAATTGTGAATAATGCACGTAATCTTATAGATATTCTTTTGTAATGCAAATCTTATCTCTCCCCAGATGACTATGAGAAGCACCCGAACGAGGTGGTGAAGAACGAGGAGCTGACTTACAGCAGCGCAGCCTGCGAATACGCGTGGAATGGCAGCACTAGTCTTAGTTGTATTTTAAGTATTGTCTTCATTATGGTGTGCCAGCGGTGAGCTGAACGTCGTTTGCAAACTACGTACATTCTTATTAATATTTATCACGTTTAAAAAAATAACCTTTTGCGCCCGCATTTTATTTATCTAACTGACTGTGAGATTTAGCAACACTACATTTGCAATTCTACGGCAACTGCGTCATCAACTTTTTCTCTATATTTTGTCATAACACAATTTAAAAAGGGCAGCAATTGAATCACTTAGTAGCGCATTGTAAAACCCCCATGGTTTCTAAAACTGCTTTGATTGAAAACCATAAAAATGTGGAAAAAAACACATATTTAATTGCTATTTTCTGTCATAGAAAAACACATTACAGAGTATTAGTATTAAAACATCGTGTACTGGTTTTTTTTTCCATACACATCATTTTTTGAGAAAGATCATGAAAAGATTCATAGTTGCCTTATGAATTGACACAAATAGGATGTGAATTAACCTTAGAAAAATCACAACATATGTGGAAAAAAGCTATAATTGTATTTATTGTCTACCAAAACGATTTAATAGAAAAAGATTACTGAAAATTTGTTTGCGGGAAGGTGTATGCCTGTCATATGAAACATATTATTTATAATGTTATGTCCTGTGTGTTTTTATTTATTTTATTTGAACCTTTCACTGTACGGAATAGTGATACAACAACACAGAAATATTTTATTTGCTATGCAAATTGGGACAAAAAACTAATTTGGTGACAATGAATCTTTTCCTAACGTAATTATTCTCATGAACTGCAATACGTGCAAAACCTGATTTAGAATTAAATTATAATTGAACTCGGTTGCATTTTGGACATATCATATTATAAGATAGGGTAGTGGAGGGATATGGTATTATGAGGATTCCTTAGCTCATGGGCTGTGATCAAACAAATGACATAACAATGGAACAGATAATTAGCATGATTACCAAAATTAAACTGACCAGAATAAAGTTTCTATTAAACACTGCAAAAATTTCACAGCAGAAGTTTCGTAAAACACCGCAAAGTTTCTATCATCCAATTTATAACTAAATTTTGTGAGTAATAATACGGAGAAAATTTCTGAATAATAATAAATTTTGTGCATGCACTGAAATTTTTGTTGATTTTTCAACCTGTATTACTCCGGAAACATAATTATTGGTCCAAAAATGCAAATCTTTCATTAAGTAACTTAAAAAACAATTTTTTGTTCATGTATTTTTTTAGAGTATTTTTGAGAAGAAATTTGGTTGACTTTTCTGTACAAAATACTAGATCTGTTCACTGTGTAGTAATATTATAAATTATTCTAAAAGTCAGTTGAACTTTGATAAGCTCTATGATCTTCGGACCTGGGGGAGGTGGAAGGCAAAGAAAGTCAGTTGAATTCTTTTTTTATGGCGATAGCAAAGTATTCCTTAATGTCCCACCGCTCCGCTGTATTAGCATTACATGGCATATGATATGCTCAAACTCAAGCCACAAGAGTTAGATTATAAAAAAAAATTGTGAGTAATGCGCAGTGTATTCAAAAACTAATTATTTCAATAATTTTTTAATATTAAGTAGGATATCAAATTACATACATTGCTAAATGTAATTGAAATATTGAAATTATATTACTGAAGTACATTCACATATTCTCTATTAGGTTGGAATGGCGAATATTTTCTATTCTTTAAAATTGATCCCGAAATTACTTTATTTGAACTCTCAAGATGCGCATGTATTGTAATACAATATATTACTACTTTATAATATGCATTAATATTGCTAGTCGCACGATGTAATCTATTAGATAACAATCATTTCTTTTTTTCAATAGTATTCCTATATTATATATATTTATATAATATATATATATTATATATATACTATATATATATTATATATATATATATATATAATATCGGTAAAAACAAACATTTGCCACATCAATTAGTGGTAAACACAGAATTTTTGCATCTTCCACTACGTATTCAATTTCATCATATTCGCAGCTATGTATTTTTTATCTCTAATTCATAAAAATTCTCTTAATCGATAAAATATGTTTTACGTAAACCAGCAGTTCACGTCAGCAGTAAAGCCAAGGGGGTGCGCTACTAGTATTTGCACACATCACATGAATAGACACATGAATATTTAGGTTGTAAGTAATAAGTTCGAATAGACTCAGAATATTTCTTCGTTTTTTTGTAATTGTTATTTTAAATATAAAGTGAACAATTAGAATAATAGTAAATTAACTAAGTGTGGGCGAGAAAATGTAGGGTGTGTGTGTGTGACATTCTTAATATGTATCTGTAGGAACCCAAACTAAAAGAGCAGAACTCGAAACACGAGTGGTATTGTATTAATGAACTAACCTATACATTTTCACTAAAATATATGTAGGGTACATCGGGGGACAATGGGACTTGGGGAACTTCAGACATCGCTTTTCTTATCCAGGACATGGAAGATCAAGGACTGAAACAACCAATCAATTGATTGTTTCTAGAGACTATATAAGCACAGATATTATTAAATGCTTTATATAATATTTTAGAAATTAAACAAATTATTTGAAGATCGACTGATTTTCAAAATTTTTGTGATTTCAGTCTCTTATTTAGCATTCAAATGTTGGTGATCAGCACCATTTCTGGAAAAGTAATACAGTTTTTGAGCGCAATGAGATATTCTATTTCGCTACGAGCTGGGCAAGTTTGGACATTTCCGTTGAACAGAAAATGAACATGAGTTATGTACTTTTAATTAAATTAAAAACTGAAATCCAGTTTTATAGCTACATGTCCTTTCATTTCATTAATCGAGTTCTTGTAACAATTGAAAAAAAAATCCTTCAAATGTGTTTTTCCCAATGAGCCTGTGCAAAACTACAGAACACAAAGTTTTCATGTTTTCTTTCAATTGAACTGAAGAACTGAATTGAAGAGAAATCACTGCATTAGCTGGAAATTTTTTTTGATGTCATTTCGATTTAGTCATAAAATTCTAGCTGCTCTGATGGCTACGCAGTAAAAAGTCAGTTCAGATTCCCAAAAGAAAGCTTATTTGTCGCTAGCTTATAATAACGCATACTCTGTCAAAAACTTTTTAAATGTCAAAAATTTTAGACAGCATTGAAATTTGCAAAAATCTGCTAATTTTGGGCACAATTGAGTAGATGAGTCAGTATAAAATGCTAAAATCACAAAGAGTAATGTTCTAACACATTTGTTTAGTAGAATATCGAGACTTGCTCTAATTTAACAAGCAAAACAATCGGCTGAGCATGTATTATTTGGATTTTCAGTGCTATTACTGCGAGTTGACCATTGAGGAACTCCACCGAAAAAACAAATCTTCAGGAAAAAAAATTTTTGTGCTAATGTTTTCGTCTCGCGGCATTTTTGCGATTTGAAACCACTTCATGCACATTTAAGACTTCAGAAAAACGTTCCAGAAATACAGGAACTTTTTAGATAGTCGCTTGCAATACATACTTTGATGGCGAAATCTCATTCACATGACGCCTCAAAGCTCCTTTACGCATGTATGCACAATGAAAATGGCCAAGTGCGAATAACAGAAGCATATGTGAAACACTTCTAAATGATCCAACATGGGGTGGTAAGGAAGCGCGTCATTCTTCAATTATATTTTATATCGTTATAAATAACGTATAGAAATATCTATTGAAGATTGAGGTGGTTTCACTCGATAAGATCTAATGGGACTTCGAGAAATATTAATCTCATTTCAAAGTACAAAATCATTTATCCTAAGTCCAGAACTACAAAGATTTTTTCTGAAAAGCTCAAATTAAAAAAAAAAATTGCGCATAGTCCACAACAGTGTAATATGTTTACGAAATTTTCATGAGTTTTCCATTGGTTTGGGTCTGACAAAGTCGCAAATCCTTGTCATCCACGCGACAGGCAAAAAATTTGTCATTTCTCAAATTTATCTTCTGAATGAAGTCATTATTTCCTTGGACAGGGTCAAAAATCTATGTGTCATCTTCAACATTTGTCCTAGTCAGAGATTTGTAGAATGGTCTTCTAGTGCATAGCTCTTGCATTTTATATCGCAATCATTAACATACCGTTTATGCTAGTCACCGAACGAGCATCTTGAAATTTAATTAACATAAACGCACTGTAATTTAGAGGACAAATTTCCGCAAAATCCTTGAAATAAATTGATTTTTATATTAATTGTCGAGATCTGAAAGCCGCTGTGTGGAAATTATGTAAAAATAATAAAAATGGTCAAAAACTCTTGAGATAAAGCGACATTTCTAAGTTTATGGCTAAGATGATTCAAAAAGTCAAATAGCATTTTTGTATAACGTTTCTGCTTTTGGAAAATGCAACGAAAGTCAATAATATAATTTTCCCTGTTCTCACCGACAATTGTTTTGCAATAAATAAGTCCAATACACTACATCACATTAAGCAATCAAATAAACAGTTACAGAATAAAAAGTTTGCCCTGTGTTTGAACTAAGAAATAACATAAATATGATTTAGATTATTAGAGCAATTCTGAGTTACACAGACATGTTATACTTCAAACATGTGAAAGTTTAATATTCTAAATGAATAAGGAAAATAGCCCTTTCTATTCTCGCTAAAAAAATGTTTTAGAGTTTTAAGCGATTCCACAGAGTGTAAGCAAAGAAAAATTGTGAAATTTGCCAAAATTATTTATATTCAAGTTCATAACTAGTAAATCCGTCATAAAAATAATTTACTATGAACATATTTCATACTCATGCTTGAAAATTAGAGCCAAAATTGCAGATTTACCCATCTTTGCAAGTTATTCTGCAGTTTCCGATCTATCACTCATTTGCTCTTTATACATTCCACATTCTTTAAAATAACCTCTGGAGGTCGTGTTAAAATTACACATGCAGGCGATACAAAATGATTTAACACATGTGGGCCACAATAGCAAATAACACAAGTGGTGAATATTTTTACACAATCGTCCTTTTGAGTCTTACATGTGTAACTCAGAATAGCAAATGCGTGTGATTATTTTTTAGCCAAGAATTGGTGTTCGACGACGTACGGAGAAAAGACCAATTAGCTTAAACTCATTTCAACGAGATTTGATTGGGAGATGCGAAGGATGCAACTTGTGAGAATGGTCGAGTGGGGTGGTGATTTGGAATTTTTGACCAGCTTTTACCACACACCAGGAAGGAGGAAAATATAATTCCTCTGAAGCGTTGTGCTTGGATTGAAATGAGTTGAAGCTAATTGGCCTTTTTTCGCACATCGTCGAGCAAATGCAAGTGTTACACCAACATAACAATTTTTTTACATTCTTTGTGGGACTGAGAGTTGCTCCATATGTTACAGAATACATGCATATATATATATATATATATATATATATATATATATATATATACATCTACATATATATGCATGTTTACTACATATACATTGCGAATATTTCATTTTTAGAATGTTACGACACCGTGCATTTTTGCACATTTGGCATATTTAGTGAACTTGCTGCTAAACACCTACATTCAAACGAATGCTAAATTAATTGCTTTATATTTTTCCTTAATATTACCTATTTTTTCGTTTTCTGAGCGGTTCCAAATAAGATTAAAAAAGATTTTTGTATTATACTTTAAACTCACGGACTTATAGTGAAAAGATGTAGGTTAGCCCTATGTAACGTAAAGGACCTTTTTACGATTTATCGTAACGAGTAAGCTGTGTATATAAATCCATAACGATTGGGGTATAGACTATAATTTGAAAAGAACAGAAAACGAAAAAAATAAGAAGTGAGATTGTAGTTGAGCAAAAAGTAATTTATGAATATAACATATAAATTAGGATATTGACATAAGGTTCTGAAATGAGATGGAAAAACTTAATATAAGATAGTTCAAGTAATATGTACACATAAATTGTAAACGTCTTAATAAGTAAAGTAAGATGCGAACGTGTCGTGAAGTTAAATATAAAATCTACTTAAATAATGTTACGTGTGTAAAACCAGACAAAAAAGATGAATTTCAAGAAAAACATCTTTAGGATGTTTCTGTGAAATAATACGAAAAATTGGAATAAAAAGAATTAAAAAATCATGTGGAGAAATGCAGACGTAAATTATGATTGAAGTTACTACAAAGAGTATACTTGAAAATGAAACACAAAATGTGTATAAATAAATAAATATATTATGTATAATGATATTGTTTCATTACATTGCCCAGAAAAAAAATAGCACACATTCTTTAGCCGTAGCCACAGTCTTTTCGTGTATTGCTGAATATAGACGATCACAGAGAATGTCCACCCGACTAGATGCGATAATGAGCAAGGGAACCGTAAAAATTATGTTGAAATCGCGTTGCAATTTTGATTCCGCGTATAGATAATTCATTAACTATTTTACACAGAAATCCAATAATTTCACCTTTTCAACGTGTTTTAGCTTTGTTTCTCTTTGTTTCTCCTTTGTTTCTGATTGAAAATTGATCAAAGACGGTTTTTGAATCGACGTTTAGGCTGAAAATTAGCATGTTTTTATCATGTATTTTGTCATAAAAAATACATATTTTACGGATATTGACAATGTATTATGCGGAAGAAAAATTACATGTAATTATATTGCGACTTGTCTTCTGGCGCATTCGCGATTTTCACAAAATTTCATTCGCGATCATCGCAAAATTTTCTTTAAATGCTGATATTTTTTCAACCTTAAGCGGAGGATCAGTCAAATTACCGCATTTTGTAGTCAATTAAGCAAGCTATCTAACAATGCGTAGCTTGAAAGTAAACGCGAAAACACAGCGCAGACACGGGTGTCAACTGAGACGGAAAGTCACTTGCGTCTCACTTGCTACTGCAATGTAACATTTTCGAGTCAATTTGCACAAATATTTCCTCTTTATGCCAACACGGAATGCTTTTGGGATACATCAACATCCACCCTAAATCGCATAATTTAGGCGCGACTTGTTTTTATTAATTTTTTCATCAAGATATCGCAATTTGTTTGCAAGGTGAGAATCTACCATTTTGCTCACAATTACAGCAGTTTACATGCTTCACCTTTCTACCACTGCGAATCGACGACAACGCCATGTAACATGGCCTCTCAATGTATTTCTTATGGAAGCTTGAGCTAATGCAGGGGGTCGGTTTTGTTTCTCTTCTTTCACTTATTGATCATCTCATTCCAATAAAACAGAGATGGAGAAACGTTTTACTAGAAATTCAGTCCTTCAGGTTCTCGACCAAAAGTTGTCGTACTCCACTGTTATATTGTATTACATTTGTATTTATTCATTCATTTTTTAAAAGTGAAGAACAAGCTGCCTAGCTACAGGAGCTGTTTGGCGTATTGTATAATATTTAAGTTCTAGTCCGTATAGCGCAATCGACGTATGCGGGGGCCGGGGCTGACGCTGTGTTTCTGTGGCCGGAGTTGGGGATGGGGTTCCTTCCCCTGCACGGGACTCCTCTGCTGCGGCTACGTGCTTCTTTGCTTTGACCTCCTCGGGGAGGTGTGTCTCTTTTTTTCGGTATCTGGGCCGAATCTGACCCGGGATCGGGCGACTCTCTTTGGCTTCTCGCCTCGCGGGTAGCTCTCGGCTCCGTGGGACTTTTTGGGGGCTCGTATGATGCTCGTGGGGTGTGTCGTAGGAAGCTTCCCCCCCCCCCGTCTCGTGGCGATGGCTGTCTCTGTGGCTCCTGGGTGGACTCATCTTCCCGTTCTAGTCGGGTGATTATTCTCTTGCATGCGCTCTTCCAGCCCTCTCTCTGTGTCTTCTTTTCTTCTTCTTTTTTCTTTTCTTTTTTTCTTGTCCTCCTTTCTCTTCTTTTTGTCTTTCTTTCCCTGTCGCTTTTCCTCGTCTCTCCCACTTTTGGCTTTTTGTGGTCTTGCCTGCACCTTTTTACTGCTTTTTCTGTTGCACGTTTTTCTGTTCTTGCCTGTGTATAATCTTCGGCTGCGACGTCTGTTTTCCTGCGTATGGTTATTTTTAAGCTGCACTTAGCTGAGCACATTGGCGACACCACAAGCTCCACAGAGCTTACGCCGCGTCTTACTCCTCGTTCCCCATACTTCCCTGCCACCCACCCCCCGATTTTCCCGACTATGTATGACTATTTTATGTTTAAGCCGCTGAATTTGATTGTAATCAGGATAAGCGTATTATTTTCTTGTATATTTCGGTCAATGAGCCGCTTTATACCGGCCAAGTGAAATGCTGGATTTAAATTGATGCAGCATTTATTTGACAGTTCTCCATACAGAACTGTCAAATATATGCTACATCAATTTAAATTCAGCATTTAACTTGGCCGGTGTAAAGAGGCTCAATGAGTTTCTGCCGTTTATTCCGCTGAGACTGTAGTGAATGTCGGCGGCAGCCGCCGCTCGAGGCCCTGTCGGTGAAGGGACAGGATTATAAAGGGTCCTCGAGTGTATTTGGAAATAAATAAATAAAATAAATAAATCTAAGCTACCGCTAGACCCGATCCAGATCATTAACGAAGATATAGTTTCTTGGTGCAGTCAGGTCAACCGCTACGCTTTTGTGCAATGGGACATTGATAAACCAGTGAGATAGTTTTTTTAAGGACCTATTGTGGCGCTCATGAAGTGATCCAGGTACCACTGTCGAACTGCTGCACAAAATACTTTAGCAATGCGGTCATTTACTATCTCCGGTCACTAAATATCTCCGAAACAAAAAAAAACTTTTATGTCAAATTTTTTTCCTATGTGTAGAGCATTGCTGAGGATATATTTTTTCATATATGCCAAAAAAGATATTTCTTTTCCATCTTCATAAAAATAGGGGTTTCCCTCGACAAGTTAAAAAAACATAGCAAAATGTGGGCAAGAACCCGGCGAATATTTTACCGAGTGGCACATAAAAAATACATTTTGACCGACAAGGAATGATCTAAAATTCCAACTATATTTTAGAAAGTAATAGATAATTTCAATGTCTATCACTCGAACCCAATTTGGGGAAAGTCAGTTGAAAATTGAGCGAGATATGAGCACGTATGTGCAGCAAAGTGGGGAAAATTCGAAAATAAGTTCCAGGAGCAGAACCTGAGGGTGTAGGGGAGCAAGTGAGGCATCGTTGGAAAGGTGATGACCAAGGAATCTAAGAAATCACAATTGGACAATTTGGAAAAACTTCTCTGATTTGTTGTTGCCATTACAGAATTTATTCGAGGAAATTCATCGGATATATCCTCTGCGACATCGCAATAAGAAATTCGTAATAGGGTAAAGGTACAGAACGAAACGCGAGACAATATAACAGATTGTGTGAGCAAAAAGAAGTATATCTTCTCTTTACTAAAAACTCATTCAGTGTATTGCTTAAATTCAAGTTTCGTTTGTATCAAAGTTATACGTAACATATGTGTAAAGAGTGATACGTTGCTTGTAATAAACGTGTATGGTAGGGCGGTGTCCTCCCCGTGAGTGAACCGGTCATTTTGTCACACTGGTGAGAGTCGCTTATACTTGCAATGTGTTATATTAATGGCACAGTAATACTTTCTTGAGCTTCATGGGATTGTGAAATACACAAAACGGCTATTGAATCGATGATCTACTACCAAAAAAAAAATTCTATTCGGAATTTCAGATTTCTAAGAAATACCAAATTATTCTGAAAAAAAATTTAGAGCACAGAGGATGAATGAACTGGACAACCTTAGACAGGAGGCGGAAACTCTAAAAAACGCAATCAGAGTAAGTGATATCATTTAGCTTGACATAAAAAAAACGCCTTAAACAATCAAATTAAAAGTAATAAGCAGGTATGTCAGAGCACATTTAATTTATGAAAATTTGTTTACGATATCCAAATTCTACTTAATATACTCAGTCAATCTTAGGCTGCAATGGCTCAGTGGTCAATGTGTTTAAATCACAGCACAGCCATGTGTTTGAATTCCACTGATAACAAATGTGTAAACAGAGTAGAGTGCAGAAGAATCATAATTCAAAGACTAAATGGAACAGCCCAAGTAACTCTTGGATATTCCAACAGAAAACTCTCTCACTCTATCCTTAAATGTTATTGACTTTAAAACCACTTATGGTTCATCGCCAGACTGACAATCTGTCACCGTAAAGCAAACCTATCTCGAATGCAATATATGTAAATTTAAGAAAAAAACAATAAATATTGCTTGTAATGGAGAAGTATACTTCAATGGTACGTAATTCCAAATAAAAAGTATGTCAAGTTTCCTTAAAGTCATATTGGGAATTATATTTAGAAATACTGTGATCGTTTCTAAAAGTAATTGTAGATTTAAGAAATGATTTTGTGGATCGCTAGTCAAACTACGTATAAAAAATGTAAAACCTAGAGATCACTCACGGGCCTGTGATCACTCTAATAATTAAAACACGACACTTTATGGAAATTCTTTCGCCAATTAAGATTTTTTGTCCAACTCTGCACTGTGCATTGTTCTCTATTTATCTTATAACAGAACAAAAATTAAAAATTATTTGTCAAAAATACGCAAAAACCTAATCACTCTACGGTTGTTGAGGGATAGAAATTCTTGCGCCACTTTTAGCAATCCTCCACCAATCTTCAAGAGCCCAACTGTAGTTCCGCCCATCTACTAATATAAAGAAATAAATTTTTTTATTGGCAGGATGCGAGAAAAGCTGCTTGTGACACGAGCTTGGTGCAAGCTACAAACAATCTTGAGCCCATTGGACGTATTCAGATGCGCACTAGGCGAACATTGCGTGGACACTTGGCTAAGATTTATGCCATGCACTGGGGTAGTGACTCACGTAATCTCGTGAGTGCATCTCAAGATGGTAAATTGATTGTATGGGATAGTCACACGACAAATAAAGTACATGCCATCCCATTACGCAGGTAATCTAGATAATAATAACAGCAGTCTACAGCCATTTTTTACAGCTAACACAGTCAAATTATTTGAATTATCATATAATCTGAAATTATGTCTACATTGGAAAATTTCGTATTTTAGGAGTTTTTAAACTCCGTTTACTTGAGATGAACGCAACAAATTGATTTGATCACAGATTTTAAAAGTCGAATTTCCACCATATTAAAGGGGTAAAATAAAGCATGGTCTCTTTCACCGCGCGGATTAAAAATTAATGCAGTATCAATTCTGATTTTAGTCCCACATGGACTAAAAATTCAGCTTAAACTACGCGGTTGCGCATACGTATTCCCTGTCAAATTCTCCGGTGTTCTAAGAAATTATGGATGTGCTCAGAATTTTTGGCAGTGGGTGACATTACCTTAGACTTAACAAGATTTTTTTTATTTTGTTCAAGGTTATCAAATTATAATGCGGAAAAGATTTCAGTTGACGTCATTGTTCAATGCTGAACAGGAGATTTATTTTATTTTATTTTTAATTGTATTGGACTCGTCAATGTTCAAGTATTTTGTCATTTTTTCTGCTTTGCGCATTGCACTTCTTGCATTGCACATTTTTATCATATTAAATTTCTCTCGCCGCGTGAGAATGCACCTTGGACTTAGTCACATCATTTTTGCTAATTAAACGTCTTTGGCTGAGTCCAGAGTACAATCCACACGCGGCGTGCATCGTTAAAAATTGCATAGAATCAAAATCAGTTCATCAAGAACAGTTTTACTGAAAACGCGCGCTTTGTCTCTTACCACATTCAATTAAATACAGTCCGCCTGTTTTTAAATAAACAATTGAACTATTGACGAGTCATGATTTTTACACAAAGTTTAACACAATAAGTTTAATCTTGATATTATTCTTGTTGCAGTTCTTGGGTTATGACATGTGCATACGCACCAAGTGGTAGTTTCGTAGCGTGTGGAGGCTTAGACAACATCTGCAGCATCTATAGCTTAAAAAATCGCGAGGGGAACGTACGCGTGTCGCGAGAGTTACCTGGTCACACAGGCTACCTTTCATGTTGTCGCTTTTTAGACGATAACCAGATAGTTACAAGTTCTGGAGATATGTCATGCGGTTTGTGGGATATTGAAACAGGACAACAGGTGACATCATTTCTCGGACATACTGGTGATGTGATGGCGCTCAGTCTCAGCTCTCATTGTCGCGCCTTCGTTTCAGGCGCATGCGATGCTAGCGCAAAGCTTTGGGATATCCGCGATGGACAGTGCAAGCAAACGTTTCCAGGCCATGAGAGTGATATCAACGCGGTCACGGTTAGTCAACTTTTGGTAAGATACTATATCGGATATTAATATTCTACCTTGTAGTTCTTCCCAAATGGCTTTGCCTTTGCCACAGGATCAGATGATGCTACGTGCCGATTATTTGATATTCGTGCAGATCAAGAACTGGCAATGTATAGCCATGATAACATAATATGTGGAATAACGTCTGTAGCGTTTTCTAAAAGTGGTCGCCTTCTACTTGCTGGTTACGATGACTTCAATTGCAACGTATGGGATACGATGAAGGCTGAGAGGGCAGGTGAGTATTTTTCTTAGATCTGTTTTCGAGTTGTTGTCGATTTCAGTGCAAATGTTCCCTTGGCAAAATTAGTATATAATGCATTCAAGTGCTGAATTGTTATGTTATACGGTCGATATCAGTCACCAAAAACACAGATACACACGAAATTACCAAGAATATTACATTCATGAATATTACATTCATTGAAAAAACAGACATAAAAGAAAATAGATCATGATACCATGAATTGGAATATTTCAAATGGAAAGAGAAGAAAAATAAAAGAATAATAAAGCAAAGATATCATTTATTAACAGAAAATTGATTAAACAGAGATGATGTAAAAGAGAACGATTCAGTTAGGGACAACAGTGCTTGAACTGTATTGACCTTTATAAGTTCTGTAGCTCATGCTTCACAACGGAATATTGGACAACGGTTATTAATAAGTACTTGGGTCGATTGAAATAAGTATCTGGAAATACACAAGCTGGAAAGTCCAATTTATTACTCAATAAAAAAATTATTTGAAATTATGGAATTATTACTTGGATAAGGTAATGGATAGTGTTTGGAAAGAAATTGCATCAAGTAACCGAAAAAATTCACAAGTTGGAGTATTCAAGGAATTAGAACAGATAAAGAAACGAATAGATAAAAAAGGAAATCGAAGTTTAAACAAGTCCATTAAGCATAAAGTGGTAATCTATTCTATTCTTTTACCGCTATTATTCTTTCAATCTTAACTATTGTAAATTCTAAATTGTGTCGAAAATGTAGTAAATTCAGGCACGCAATCGAAACTCACTCATTGTAACCCCAGAGATTGATTATATAAGTTGTCACCAGAGGGTTAGGTTCTCATGCGAACGGAGAGAGTGGCTCACACTGGGCTTTCGATGCTGTGCGTCAGTCCTCTCTGAGTGATTGAAGTTCGCCTGTCGATCCGCACCTCCGGGAGCCCATTCTTAGAAATGTACCCGCCCGATAGAGTAATCGCGAATTTGCTACAAAAATTAAAACAGAAAAACTCTTTGTGAAACATTTCAAGTGTGCGAATCTAATAAGATTATTACTTGTTTATACAGTTTTCTCTTGCATTCAGGTATACTTGCTGGGCATGATAATCGAGTTTCATGTCTTGGCGTCACTGAGAACGGCATGGCTGTAGCTACAGGATCGTGGGACTCATTTCTACGTGTATGGAACTAAAATAACCATATTTGAATTGAGTTTCTGAAAGCCTTTCAATCAGCGCTCTGCCCAAAATATGTATATGAAAGTTGATAAATTTGTGGCGTTCAAAAATTTACGTATACCCACACACATATACATACATCACATTCAAAATGTAAGAATAAAGCCAAGGCCCGCCATACAATAAATTTAAACGATTAATGGTCATAGCATTTTCTCTACTTAAAAGCATCAAATTCATAGCAACGGTCAGAAAACCACAAATATTCTAATATAATTTTTTGAGGTTACTCATATTTTAAATAAATTTCATGTTATTTGAAGACTTTTTAACTTTACTTTCAAATGGAAAATATGTTTATTCAATTTTACAATTGTCATAAGCACTGTTGATTTTGATAATCCTGTATTCCTAATCTATTGATAGTCTGGATTTATAACATAAATGAATTTATTTTAATTGGAATTAAAGATGCTCAAAACAGAAAGGAATTCAACGTAATGGGAGAAGTAAAGTGAAGATTGAGAGTAAAAAACAAATATATATACACGCTACTTAAGTCTATTTTGTATTTCACAATTGTTCTCGTGGAATTCATAATAGTAAACCGATACTTAATGTATTAACTTTGTGTAAATTTAGACTTATGAAAGAATATCACAAAATAAAAAAAAACTCAGTATAATTCAAAGTGCTAAAAGTTTGTCGTCATAGAATAGGTGAAATACAAAATTTTTAGGGTTTATAAAAAAACTCAGGAAGTTATTTCTCGTAATTTATTATAACCTTTATATGAAGTTCTCTCTGGTTTTAGATACTTTTGAGAAATTTCAGAATTTTTTCGTGATACTGAAATAAATTTCTTGATTTAAGATTTTATTCACTGACCCCACAACTCTTAGTTGCATCGAGTCCATAAATGTACTACTTTAAACACATAGAATCGATTTCACATAATCTTATTATGAGTTCATGCTGAGCAATTGATTTTAATTAAAAAAAAAAACGACTGGAGAAAAAAACAATATAGATGAAAACTTAAGATAATGTTAAAAAACAATATTTTATGTTGATTTTTTTTGTGTGATATTGTCTCTCTGTGCGGTGTGCATTTCGCTTATTTTTTATATCTCTTGCTCCTATAGAAGCAGAAAAAATATTGATTGGTGTGTGTAGTGGCCAGTTGTTGGATTTGATTTGACTCAACACGAAAGACTGCGAAATTGAAGAAACACGGATTTACAAATCTCTCACATACATTCCCACCTTAAGTGATCCTCTGAAAAAGGTTCTGCAAAAAAGATTCCTGACCTGTAGATAATCTTCAAATACTTACGCAAGATCTTTCGTGTACAAATCAGAAGGACAAGACGCATACATTACTGGAAAGAAGAGTCGTTTATTCAATTCCCTGCCGATGCAACATTTAAATGGTCAAATCAATATAGAGAGTCAAGAAGAAATCGAGTAGGACAACACAGAAGAAGTGTACAGCAAATGCAGAGGACCATAAAGGAGAACAGACCAGAAAATGTTGTCAGCGCCTTGATCAGTCGCTTAAGAGGAACAAACCATTAAGTTCGATCTTCGACGATGTAAGCATATTGGATAGCAGGGAAGAACAAAGAATTAGAGACTCTTAAATCGCTGCATATCAACCTAACAAAACACAAAAATAATAATAAAAAACTTGACATCAACTGTACCCTTTACACGGGAATACTAAAAAGATAAAAATGTAGATCAGTAGAAACAAAATTTTTCACTTAAAAATTATAAAAATTTTGTTATTGACATTAGCGCCTCTGGCGGTGGTCCGATGAACTTCTGTTGTTCTAAATAGTCGTAGAGTTTTGCAAGAGATTTCCAACGAGACCTGAATTATTAAGATCGTATAAAAATAACCAAAGTTTTAGCGTATTTAAAATAAAACTTCAAACCGTCAAATCTTCGGTTCTATTGCATCCACAAAAAACTATAACCTATTTTCAGAGACATTCTGCTCTGGGCTACAACGTACTGAAATTAAAAAAATTATGATCTAGTCACCGAGATACAGGCGTTCAAAGGTTTTTTTTTTAATATGGCGACATTTGTTATGACGTCACAGATTAATGGTGAATAGGGCCTACTGAAGGGCGTCGAGACACATCTTTCAGTGAAGAGATTATCGAAATAGGTTGATAAACAGCGGAGATATGGACTGGTAAAGGTGTGAACTTTGACCTTCCATATCTCCGCTTCTAATAAATAGGGCCCTAAAAGTAACGGTTCGTTGGAAAGGTCTCGACTTTAGCTGCAACATACCAAAATTTGGGCCTGATTCATGCCATAAGAACTGAACAATTGAGCAAAGTGTATTATGGGGGTGTTCAAAATAGCGTTCGTAGGGGTGGGGGGTTGGATTTGTCAAAAAAATCTTCATTACCACTGCATAACCATTCATTGCATTCATCGAGTTTTGCCTCAGACAGTGATCAAATTCAGATCAAATATCTGCATATAATGATTTTTTTTCGTATTACGAAATAAAAAAATGAATCAAAGAGTAGTGATTCCATATTTCAAATGGTAAAGGGTTGATTTAACTTGTGCAAGAAGAGAAAAAAAGGAATTATACGAACCGCACGGCGCAGTAAAGACATAATTACATACAAAGATTCACCATAAAATGATGTGTCTTCACCATAATAACACACCAAAAATTATATATAGTTGCTTTAAAATGAAAAAACTGTCGAAGCTTAGCAACTATGGATAAAATTGAATTATATGGTTTTGTTTTGTGGTTTTAACGAATTAAATTCTCTTTTTCCCATTTTTTATTAAACTTTGTAAGAGAAAAATTCTTTGAGTTATCGTTCATTAAAAATTTCTGCTATTTTATATTTAAATGAAACATATAAACTGAAACATATTTCTAGCTCAACGTAAAATTTGTAAAACATTGATATGCTAGAGATCATAAAAATTATGTTTTTGAAACCCTGTACATAAAAAAGAGAATAAGTGTAATTGTATACTTTATAGGTTAAGTAAACAGAAGAGTGTAGCATAAAGATATCAAAAGCATTATACTAGATTCATACACACGTTAAATTTTAAGAAAGTTTATATCATCATTTATCGTAATAATGACTCTAGTTTTTTTATGTCCAACTGTTCAACTGTCCACTTACAGCCTTTCCTGTAGTTTTTGCTTATCTCTCTATACCACTGATCACTTAAAAACAAAAAAGTGGTATGTAGTGTACACGTATAAAACATACTAATGGTATACTCGTAGGTCCTCTCGAGGTAACTTCGAATATGCACTAGGTGCATATTATGTAAACCAAATGTAATAATCAAGTAAAGTTTCTACTTATTTTGAGATGAATAGTTTCATACGTTATAAAGAAAATCATATAGCTCAATTCGTTAAAAGAGCACATCTTTCATAACAACTATCTATCATCTGAAAAACAGCCATTATTTATGGATATACGGCAAAAGTTATGGAATAAAAGTGTATTTATACTGAGAAGAAAATTTATAATTACAGGCGTCTAAACTCAAACAAAAAGAAACAACATGAAATTTTGCGTTCACTCATGTAGTAAAGATTATTCAGTATAGAGAATAATGCATATAAACCTTGGTATAAGAATAGAGTACTATTCAGTTATTATAAATTTAGTCCTAAATTAATATGTAATGAGTAACAGAAGTTAGCTCATATGTGAAATAAGAAGGACTGAAAATACTTCTGGGGGTCTCACTTATAATGTAACGTAAGAGTTAGTTAGAAAATTTACTACAACATGCATTATTTTAAAAACAAAACAGTTTTCCTTAGTTTCATTACCTGCGTAATAAACGTACGATATTCACACATTTCGCGGTACTGGTTCTATAATTTAAATCTGATGTGACCTATTTATGAAACATCTCGTCCCAAACTATAACATATAACACCCATGAAGCCTTCCATGACCTGAAAGACGGGAGCAAACATGAGAAAGTACGTTGCGTTAGAAAAGTCTGTAACATCCTCCCACGAATTGACGTAAGTTTCATCTGTGCTCATTGTTATCAATTTATGAAGTAGGCGAAGAGTACGCTCACACAAACTTATTATACTTATGAGCGATAAAAATAAAACATATTCAGAAAGAAAACACTTGAGGTGTATTTCAATGTAGGAATTATTTAGTTTTTTACTTTTGTGATTTTGGATTGGACGAGCGATAACAGTTAGTAGTTATTATATAAATCCATGCTTCTAATTATGATGCAAATTTCCAGTTCCTTGAACATTTAAATGATTGGATTAGACAAAAGTTCTCAAGTGTAAGTATGAGACAACCTCCGTTACTCATTCCATTACGAGTTATCAAGAATCACTATCCAATTGAGCTGGGCGAAACTCGGCTCTATCTGTAAATTTGTTATTAAATTTTTCAGACTCCGACGCAAAACATACATTTGAAAAAATAATTTATACAAGTAAAAATAAGATTTTAATTATGGATAATATTAAATATTTACCATCTAGAAACTAATTATTAAATATGATTAAATGGGAAATCTATGTACGAATTCATAATAAAACAAATACATGATTGTGGTAAAAAAAACGCATTCCGGAAAAATTTCAATCTGGTCTAAATTGCAACTTCCAGGAAATTTCGGATACGAATGAATCATAAGCTAAAGGAATTATATGAGAAGATCGCTATAAAAAAAAAAGCTTTTCATATTTTAACTAAAATCAGCCACGGTACGTTGTTTTTTGTACGCTCGATTTCTTTGTTAAATGGGATCAAAGCAAAATTCAAGATATTTTAGGTTCAGAGGCCAGATTAGAAGAGGGGGTGGTGTAAGAAATCTTGCTCCACTGCATCCAGGCCAACAAGTGGGCCCCTTATGCATCCCCCATTAATTTCCCACTTAAGGGCCAAGACCCATAGTTAACCAGTCATCCAGATTCTCTCTATAGTAACCTTTCAGACGGTACAGCTTTGGCCTGTGACTTTCATTGATTTTTATTTTTATTTTATGTCGTCCCCTCTGCCCCGTTATCTTCTGATTTTTCCTACTCAGAGGCAAGGCTATTCAAGTCAGCCAGTCAAATTCACAGACTAGCATTTACAAGCGACACCAGTCTGGTATTGTTCCCATCTATAAGTAAGGACAGATGCGAAATACACTTCCACAGAAGTTTCTACTTCAGCTGGAACATTTAACAGCAACCTTATTTTGGGCCTGAATTTTTATATTTATTGTTGGGACAAATCTTTCCGCCAGAAACTGCGAGAAAACCTTTTGTGCCGGGAATTGTGGCAGTGCCCGGGAACGGGATCGTTCACTCTATTCCTGGCCACCACAGTGAACACATCCTTAGTTTTAGTCTTGTCAAGTTGAGTGTAATTAATTCAGTGTTAATCAAGCAATAATTAAATTAATCAAGCAAGACGTGTGTGTCCTCCATCATATCACGGACTCCTCTGAATCGGCGAAGCGGCTGGGATCTCTAATATCCTCGTCTTATTTAAAGGTATTTCCCAAGCTGCAACATTTGTCATTGAAAGGCTTAATATTTTTCGCATCTGCTGTGTTCGATCATTTGCAAGTGATGGGAATCGAACACGCGACCGTGATGTTCTCAGTCCGGCACTCTACCCAATGCACCACGGCCGCCTAGGTTCAGAGGCCAAGGAATGGATTTTGTTTGGAAAATAACACAGTCCAACATTGGTTCCTGCTTTTTGATTATTCTTGGTCATTGGAACACCCATTGGGCCTATAGTATAATCCTGTATACTTCCCAAGGAAAGTTTGTGATTGGTACAAGATGCGAAGGAATTATTTTTTTGTCGTTTTGAAATTTCCGCAAAGAAAGTCCAGAATCTCCCCAATTCCTCATCCGACCGTAAAAGGTAGCACAGATTAAAAAAAGGTGGTTTCACTGGCTACAATTCCCTGGGACATGCCAAGATCGCCAAAAATACTCCAGAGGCTCTAAATGACTATAACTCCTAGACAGGCACAAAAAATGAATTTTTTCGGGTGTTTAAAAAATCACATAAAATACCCCGCGAGTGATAAAAATTCGCGATATGCTTGAAATTGTAGAGGATTTCATAACGCACATTTTAGCCATATACCACTTCTCTCTCCGAGACCCCCGAGTCGACATATTGGCCTTTTCTCCCTTTTTAATCCGCCTCACCATACACATTTAAAAAATTGCGGCCTGAAAGTGCATTTTGCCGCGCACGCATTCTGCGATTTTCTCGCGAATACTGCCCAGTCTGGCTGAATAAAAGATCATAAAGGAAATCCAATGCATTTCACCAGGTAAGAATTTGGCCCAGTGGTAGCAAGCTCGTGTAAGAGTGGGCCAGTTCTGACTAAATTCTCCTCCTCCAGGAAATCCTCTTTTGCCAATATGGCATTCTGTGCTTCAGTCGCAACCGCCAGCCCACTTGAATTTGGCGCGTTATCGATTGTCATCGACAATCGATAACGATAATCGACAAGCATCCATTACCTTCTTAGAATTTTTAGAAGAGAAGAAGACAGCAGTATCACCTGCTCGCAATTCGTAAAGATTTTGGGTAAATAGTATGATCACCATTGTCATTCAGGACTGAATAAAAATTGTTATTTGCTGAATGAATGCTTATAACGTTAGAACTGATACTATTACCAGGAACAATATATCTGCAAAATTTTCGCCTGAATGAGATGCGCGACTTCGTTGGGGATATAATGGAATTTTTTATATTGAAATTAACTTGGTGTTTTATCTTCCCTGTACTTACTTATCTATATGGCTTAAATATCCAATTGAGGGACACAGCCTTCTCCATTAAAGGAGAGATCAAGACAAGTTTTTGTTTTACGGTTGCAGATTGTCAACCAACCATAAGTGGTTCTAACGTCCACCTTTTATATATATATATATATATATATATATATACGGGAATAGAGCGCAAGACATTTCCATGGAAGCGTATATTTCAGCTGGAACATTCAACAACAACGAACCCCGTCCAACAACGAATGCCGTGTTCGAACATTTGCAATTGGTGGAATTCGAACACACGACTGTAGCATCGAGAGTCAAACACGTTAACTACTGAGCTACAGCCGCTTTGATCTTCCCTATATTCGGTCTTTATCTCTATATCAGCAAAGTTTAATATATTATTTACTTACTTTTGTAGCCTAATAGTATTCTTAAAGGTGGAAACATAGTATTTTGCGGTGAACCATTGATCGGGTTTGTCTCTTTCTTCACCACGCGTGTCATGTATTTTCCTTCCTACTCGCATTACACACTATACCCAGTATAACTCTGGAGGTTTCCTTTGGGCAACCCACGCGACTTGCTTAGAAACCCTGGACAATCCACACTGAACTTGAGTTCAACAAGTCGGACAATATGATTGCTGTCATAATTGCGCACCGAAAGTTGGTTTCAGATCTGGAAATAGAAAAAGGAATCTGACGGAACAAACCCGAGATGGTATGAGCCAAATTCTGTGTTTTCACCATAAAGAACTAAGTCTTCTGCACCACGTTTTCGGTATGTTCCTTTCGTGATCCTTTACCAATCTCCACCAGCAACGTAGTACTTCCAAATGATCAAATAACTTGGTTTTTTTTATTAGCAACCTTATAGTAATATATGATTAATTTTCATAATAAAAAAAGAAATTAATTTTTTCTTCTAACTTTAAAAAAAAACATTTTGTTTAAAGTCACAGGTGAAAAATTTTTAAGAGACCAGAAATATGGAATGATTAAATTCATGTGAGTAAACATAAAAAATATTTATAGGCTGTAAAAAAGCAGATTTTTGGTTTCTGTTTTATTTCTGTATGCATTATATAGCTGTTATTTTTTTCATATTCTGCAATGTTTCGACTTTTTTGAGTTCTTTTCAGAGCCTACTTAGACACATTACAAAAATATTGTAAAACTGAAAATCGGAAACAGACGAATATTCCTTGAAAATTTTATCATCTTACATCAAGCAATGTATCAGTGTTAGCACACATCGACGGTTTTCTGGCCAATATTTTTTGAGAAACATTTTAAGTCATTTTTTTCGACTGAAAGTAGTTTAAATCCAAAGGCAACGGTTTAATTAGTGGTTAAAGTACGTTTCTGCCCACGAAAATAGCATTGTTTGCTTCAAAATCTCACAAATAGAGTCACCAAATTTACGATAAATTGGAAAAAATTCCATCGGATACCCCAAATTTTACAGTTTTCTAGTAGTAATTTTGACAGCAGCGTAAATTAATTTTCCTCCCAGACCATTTTTGCGTTTTACTCTGATAGTTATACAATATCTTGTTAATAATCATTCATGAGTGAAGAAAATGTTAAGTGATGAATGTTTAAAACATTAGGGAAAAAAGAAAAAAAATATGGCACCAATTTCGACAATCAGAATCTGACAACCCATTTGAACAAAATCGTAGCACTATCTATCCGATGGAATGGCCAGCTAAAGTTCATGTGTGCTAACTCCGTAAGAAATAGTTATCGCAGAGCGAATACCCGGTATCTTACAAACTTTCGTATTAGTAAAGGTCGAAATAAAGTACTTAGTGAAAAATTTACTTTAGTTTCTCAGTGTTCAACCTCTTTATTGTGGGGACTAATAGAATCACCAGATGGAATTTCAATAATTTCCTCTGCACCGAAGGGTGCTAAGCACTCCTCCATTAGATAGTCAGCCTCAGGAAAGAGTTCGCTCGTATTAGGCGTGCCCACGCCTAAATCTTCACAGTCAGGCAAGTCAGGAATGGGCTCAGATGTTGACTCGGGTGCCATGTGTAGTTGCTTTAACATATATCCTGGCTTATCCAACAGCAACACCTTGCGCGAGGATGGCTATGAATAAAGTATAATGGTAAGTACAAGTGGCATGAAACATTAAAACTAATTTTTAAATTCTGTCTAGAAATTATCCAACATATGACAAAATATCGCGCAACATCGTTACACGTGAAAATTAATTAAACTATTAGGGCATATTGAGGCATACTTTTTCTTATTATATTATTTACAATTAAACCTAAGCTCTGAATCTTAAACAAATAATAGTAATAACCTTGCTCGAGTGTGTTGAGGCAGAAATCAACCACACCGAATTATTTATCATAGTAATGGGCCTTGTTAATGATCAGACAATGGTCTGATCACGCCAATTATTCTCTATATGTTCTCAGACGCTATCGGAACATCAGACCTTGTGATACTCGGCTGCTTCTCGCACGAGCGCTGATTATGCCATTCTTTTCTTATGGAGCGGAGAGCACTTCTTTCTGGCGAATAGTGACAAAATCCGCCGGATAACTATTGCATTCAACAATTGTGTCAGGTACGTCTGCAAACTGTGTCCTCGCGATCACATTGCTCTCTACAGGGATGTGTTGGTGTCCTGCAGTATGTCGTCCTTTCTGCAGATGCGAAGCATGATTTTCTTGGATTGCCTCTGCGGTAATGGTATCTGTCTTCCTTCTTGACAAGGGGTTGATCGACCAGGCTTCGGAGACTTCTCGTCCCTAGAGCCGAGCATGAGACCTTTTTCCTAACTCTCTTTGTTAGATATATTTCTTTATAACGCCCTCCCGCGTAAGGCCCGCGAGTCTGTGGGGGACATCAAGAGATCCTTTCAGGCTGCTGATCTCATTACGTTAACTTTTTTCAGTGTAATTTAGTAATTGTGAAACTTAGCTCTTTTTTACCTTCTCTCCTTTCTCTTGCACTACTGTTGTACTTTTTCATTTCTGTCGATTCCTAGTTGTATTCCATTTCCTTTCTCATTTGTTTTTGTCAAATTGTAAAAGGATTAGGCCCTAATTTTTGCTATCAATAAATTATTATTATATTTCTTCACCTTAAATTTAATTACATCCCTTTCGTTTTTGACTGGAATTTATTGCTTTGTTCTAGTTACCAAATTGGAACAAAATATTTTTTGTATAATTCGATAACATGATTATTGCGAAAAGGAAAAAAAAATCATAGATTTTGAAGTTCCTTTTATTCAGAGGAAAAATTGCACCTGTGGTATCTCATTAGATGGCTATTCATGAGCACGGTTGAAATATGAAATCACCCCGTGCTTACAAGTGATGTATTTCTATCAATTTCTACAGTAAGTCTTAAAATTTGATGTAAGAATCAAAGTTACTTAAAGGATAAATATAGCTGAGTTAAATATAAGCTTACTTGATTCTGAATGGTGCTCATGAATTTGGGTGGTGGCATAGTCACAAGACGTTGGGTACCCAGAGCGATGCGTAAAGGATGCATAATATAGTTCACGAGAGCGGGGGTAGGTTGTTCCTTGGGAGATTTCTTAGATGCCACCAATTTTTTACGCTTGGCCAAAATCGATGACGGTGGCGTTGAACGACGCCGTGGTGCTGGCTTGTTATTAAGATCTGGTGAATTAGCCAATTTTTTGTGATATTCCGCCAGTATTGCGTAGATTTTTGCATGTTTGCTGTCTTCGTCAGTGCGCGGTGCTGCCTTTTTGCGAGGTGTACTTCGCTCCTTTACTTCTTTACACACTTTATCAAATTCCATCAACTGTTCCTGTAGCGCCTCATCTGGCCGGGGACGCACCTGGGGCCGAATCAGTGGTACAGACACAGGGATGAAATAGGTGGCTTCTGTATTACGCACTTGCACGCTCCTGACCACAATACCATGTTTATTATCCGGGGGTGGAGTCACTGTAGTGATAATAGGAATACCCGTAAGGTAGAGCTGCCGCTGGGGTCGTCCTTCAATCAGTTTTAAATTGCTATGTACAAGAAACTTTCCTGGTTTTACAGGCTGTGGTATAGCCATACGTCTAGCTCTCTCGTCCCGTTTCCCCCCTGGGACACTTTGTACGATGTGTAAGATATTGAATTGCACACCATCACTCTTCGCCATAACGTTGTACATTACACAGTGGCATTCGCTACTCCGCATGCGCGAACCTCGACAATTGACATTCACCTCTGATAGAATTTTTCAAACAGGAATTAAATTAGGCTCTACGTACACTAAGTTATAATTTAATTAATACAAATAATTACAATAATATAATTGTTGAAAACAAAAAACGAATTGGCCTATTAAAATATGGACTTAAATATCTTGAAACAATACAAATTATTTTCACAAATAGAGCTAAACTAAAAAGTCTATGTTGTGAATTATCATTTTTTAGTCTAATGTTATGGCTTTATTAAAAACAAAAATTCTCATCAGACAAACTTTTTACTGTATTTTTCTGTTACGTGCATTTTTTCATGATAAAAGAAAAGCTGAATAAAATACCTCAAAGTACTGTATCACTATTATTATTATTACAATGGAACGAAAACGCCATTTATATTATTTTGAGCACTGTGATTATAGAAGCCTATTGTACCCGAGGCCATTTGGTGAGGTAAACTAAGAACAATAACAGAAAACATCAGGAAAACAATGAATTGAATTCATTTCCTCACCTTCTCCCTTTAAAGAATAGTTGACTTTTATCAATACTAGTGGGATCTCTCCCACTATTAGCCTGACCGAGAGGATAGTAAGATCGTAAGAAGAGGTAACTAAATTGATTTAGTGAGAAAAATTGTTAGCCTTTGCATTTGGAGGTTTAGGGTGGGTCCTTTTTAGACCTTCTGTATTGGCCAAATTTTCTAAAACAAAAAAAAAATCCAAAATTTTCCACGTTCTAGTCTCGGATTTATAGATTTCGGGAAAGTAGCGTTTACATCCTGGAATTTTGGCATCGGAATGTCTTAATGTTTGGAATGAATCTTGGTCTTATTTTTAATCTTATAGTGCCAGAATTCCGCCCATAGTTTCTTAATTATACAAAATTCACAGTAAAAATAATTTTTTTATACTGGAACCTACTTTAAAGTCATGTGGGATCATTTTCTTTTTTTTATCTGACGAAGTGTCCATGATGATTCGCTATTGGGTTTTCGTAGTTTCTGAGCTCTAGTGACATGTTCAGTACGTCAAATGGGCGGCAGTGCACTCCTAATGGCGTCTTTGTAGTTTAATGAGCTGTTTGGTAGGGTGACAAAGGAGTGCTAAAAAACTTAAAAAACATTAAGGCACTGTATACCAGATAAGGAGAACCATTACTGTTTTGAAAAGGTAAGTGAAGTCCAAGTTTCGCTTCTATGGCTGAAGAATATGTTTTGTTTTATAGGTTTATTATGCGCTGTGATGGTTTTCATTTCGCCTAGTTTGTAAATGTGCACACTACATTAAAGTGAATGGCCAGATATGTCTAAATGCGCATCGCCAAATGTGGATGATCTTCCTGAAGATGAGAGTAAGGGAGCAACCCCTAATGATAATCATCATATTAGATACACATTGGAACAGCTCTTAAATCTCGGTGATTTGCCACTTTCAAACCGTCGTCCCGACTGTTTCGACGAATTACCCCCCTCAGGTGGTGGTATTCGTATTCCTTGGAGAAGACCCGCTGAATCTGTGCGGCAAGATGATGATAAGCTATCACGATTGGACAAGCGCCGTGAACGAGTTCGGAAATTTCAGGAAATTGTACTTTCTCCACAACGGCGTTCTTTTAATATGGGCTGTCATATGCCACCTCCGCCGCCTACTACACAACCTACGACATCACTCGTACCGCCTTTCGGACGTGACCGTGATGGTACACGTGATCGGCGTATTGGCAGTGGTCGAATCGTGACAAGAGATGTGTCATGGGACTATAAACCAGACACTACAGAGTCGGAAGGGCTTTCTTTTCGAAATGGTGCATCATTCCTACGATCTGAGCGCGATGTAAATGTAAGCAGGGATGAATGGTTGGAACGAAAAGGCACTTATTCAGCACGCTTAAGGTAATAATAATCACAAAGTAGTCTTTGATAAAGAATACCATTACAAATTGTCTTTAATTGTCTCATTAATTATCCTAAAGCCTCGTTATGCCCTCAGAAAAGTAGATTTTGAAGAGTACTCCCCAAGTTACTTCCTTGTAAATTTGTTTTTAATGTCCGTCTGCAAATGGACATTACAAAGATTAGGAAGCAAACACAAGCTCATTAGATTTTCTTATCGGGTAACACTCAATTTCAACGATGCAAAGGCCAATGTTTTAGACGAAGAAATCCCTAACGCTCGATCTCTTACCTTGACATTGTCCCAACCAGTCAGAACCTGATTATTGTCCATGTCGAGGAAAGCATAATCATAGAAGTTGGTCGGTGCTTTGCCAGAGGAATAATGAAAATAGACTTTAATTAACTTTGTATGATTCATGAGACTTAAGCACACACTTTTATCCTCCGTACTGAGAGGTTTAAAGCTATAACAACTGGAAAATAAAAACAAAAAAAGAAACAGCCATAGTTGAAATCGTATCGTGATTAAAACTGTATAAATACACAATACTCAGGGTAGTAACGTTGTAAGAAATATGAATGAATAGTAAACTATAAGAGTGGGTCAGTTCTGACTAAATTCTCCTCCACCAGGAGTTCCTCTTTTGCCAATATGGCATTCTGTGCCTCAGTCGCAACCGCCAACCCACTTGAATTTATCGTTATCGATTGTCATCGACAATCGATAACGTGGAGCAAATTCCGACAATGTCTCTTTCAAAATAACAATAAGCTAGTAACTTAAGGAAAATTCGTCTTATACATACTACATATAATTTGTAACTAAACTTAGAAATCTATTGTTTTGTATTACAGCGCTCATGAACAGACGAGATCTCGCGGCGGAAGCGTGAGGCGAAATTTTCGTGAATATGATGTTGAACCTGAATGGTTTAGCAGCGGACCTACATCACAGTTTGACACAATTGAGCTTCGTGGGTTCGAAGAAATTCTTCCATCTTCTATTATCACAGAATCTGACTTACAAACGATACCTGCAAGCCCAAAAGCGGAGACTCCGCCGTCCGACAGTAATAATAATGCCGCTGAAAAGGAGACAGCACGTTAGTTTTTATGAGGTGAATTTTTTCTACTATGATAACATATTTTATTCCAAAGGTTCGATTGATGAAACCCATGAGTTTAATTTCGACGAGTACCTCCAGCTTGATGCAGACTTTCTCACTGATCAGTGCCCAGATGGTGGATCACGGTTTAGTCAATGGTTCCAGCGACGTACTCCTGATTGTTCTATGGGAGAAATTGCGAACAGTAGACGGTCATCGATCATTGATGAGCTAGAGAATATAATGAATGAGAGTATGAGTCCGGATCTTTTGGACGGAAATAGCAATGAATTTTTTGCACCTATTTCGCCAGCCAATGATAGTGAGGTATCAAAGAGTGTAATGGATTTTCTTCACACAGCGCGAATAGGTACTTCATCACAACCTCGCGCACCACCCAAGCAATTACCAACCGCCCATAAAATACTAAATGTGAATGAAATTGAAGCTTCAATGCGTGAGTGTGGTGTTGAGTCAAAAAACAGACACACTTTGATCCCAACAAAGGAAAAGATAGAATTGGATGTATTTAAAAAATTTGTGGCTAATATGCCAAATGAACAACTAGTTGGCGGTATTGATGACAAGGGTAAAGGGAGATTTGCAGCAGCACGGAGAGCTACTACAAACAATTACTTGGATCTTGTGCAGAAAGTAATCTTCCATGGATCAACGCAAACAAACAGGCAGGAGTTGCTTAATACACCCGAGGCCAGGGAGTTCTTAAGAGGTAAATCATTAGTCAGTATCTGGGATTGCTAAAATTCAGTATGGGCGATAATTATAATTCTAGTATAGGTCTCCAGGGTCTAGATCAAAAACAAAAAATTGTTAATACTAGATATCTATCCATAGTAGAGTCAAAACTTTCAATATGGAGAATTTCTAACAGCCGAAATTCAGCTAAAATCGTATAGTTTATCATTGAATTTGTCTTGGTACCAAAAAGAATCTGGGCGCAAACTATGCTCATAAAAACATGTTCTGAACTGTAGAATCACTCACGGTTGGCCGACAAACTGACAATCTGCCACCGTGAAAACAAACCTGTTTCAAATATCTCCTCTAAAGGTGAAGGCTTTGTCCCTCAATGTTGCTCAACGTTAATGCCACCTAAGTGAGATAATATTATAATTTTGTGCAGGTCTTGTACGAGGTGAATTGTCAATTCATAGTCTTTTGCGTCATCTTCGAATGGCAATGCCAGGACGGGAGCAGGAAATCATAGTAGCTGTTCTGTGGCAGTTCGATAAGTCCTCTAGAGCTGAAGTCGCAGCTAAACTTCTGCAACCTCCACGTTCAACTGCGTCAATCATGTTGCCACCACCACATTCACCACAGATTGCACCACCGGAGCCTCATATTGTGTTTCCACCGTCTACGCAAACGACATCAACTAGTGTTCAGAAGCTCTCTGTATCACCACTGCCAAATGGTAAGTTCCTATGGGTTATGATTTTTTTATACCCGAATAGATTCTACTATTATCGACGAATTTGGAACTAAACCTCGTCAATGAAACAAAATATGGAAATTTTATTACTTTTATAAATTTGTGTTTCGAGACATAGTCAAACCCCAGTTTCAAAATATGTAGTTGTCTTAAATTCTTTTGAATGTTGAACAATTATTTTCACATTAGGTGGTAGGTGTGGCGTATTCTGACAGCAGCACCCAAGTCACTGAACGGACCCATTATACATTCCCACTTTCTTCTCAATTTCTCACTTATGGGCTAAGACACAAATCTAACCAATATCATCCAGATTTTGGTTTCTTTCAGAGAGTACAGATTTAGCTTTGCATATTTTCCTTGTTTTATGTTGTCCCTCTCTCAATATCCCCCAATTTTTCCCACTCAGAGCCATTGCTATTAAAGTCAAGTTGTATTGTTTCCATCTATAAATGAGAACAGATGCGAAATACAATTCCATAGAAGTTTGTGGCTGGAATTTACATTTTGCCATTGAAAGGCTTAATATTTTTTCGCATCTGCTGTGTTCGATCATTTGCATCGAACATTGATGGGAATCAAATACACAACTGTGGTACTCTCAGTCCGACACTCTACCGACTACACCACGGTAGCCGTCTATTTAAACACTAAATGTGTAAAAATTTTCGTATGAAAAATTTAAACAATAGTATGAATTGTGACGAGACGAGAACAATTGAGTATGAATGAAAAGCAGTTTTTCGGTCAAAAGGTTGTTTCTATCTAATCTCTTCCGCCAACGTTTTGACCCTTGTTGAGATTTTCCTAAGTAATTGAATAATTGCTTTTTTTTTTAACTTTTAGCAAATGCTGTCGTTAACACCGGTGTTGGACCGAGTCCAATAGCTCTTCATATTCCAGGTATTGTATATAATAACTCACCCACTTTCTCTCCTTCCCGATACCCTGTAAATTTAACGGTATACTGGTTAGATTAGATTAGAAATGGAGGTGGTACAAGAAATCTTGCTCCACGGCATCCAGGCCATCTGACGGGCCCTTTATGCATCCCCAGGAAAATTTCCCACTTAAGGGCCAAGACCCAAAGCTAACCAGTCATCCAGTTAGCTTTCAAGACGGTACAGCTTTGACCTGTGACTTTAATTGATATCTTATTTTTATTTATGTCGTCCCTCTCCCCCGGTTATCCTCTGATTTTTTTTTCCCCACTCAGAGGGCAAGGCTTTCAAAGTGAGCCAGTCAAATTCACAGACTAGCAGAGCTTGGCCTTGGGCGTATTTGCAGACGATATCACTATTTACAAGCGACACCAGTCTGGTATTGTGCCCATCTATAAGTAAGGACAGATGCGAAATACACTTCCACAGAAGTTTCTACTTCAGTTGGAACATTTAACAGCAACCTTATTTGGGCTGGAATTTTTATATTTGCCATTGAAAGCCTTAATATTTTTCGCATCTGCTGTGTTCAATCATTTGCAAGTGATGGGGATCGAACACACGACCGTGATGTCCTCAGTCTGGCTCTCTACCGACTGCACCACGGCCGCCTCCTAACGGTATACTGGTTTGTCCTTATTCTATTATCGAATCCCCTTTGCTTGTTATTCCTAACACTTAAGAATCAGAATAATAGAAAATGAACGCGTAGGTTCGCTTATGGGTAAGCTAGGCGACAACACCAACTCGAAATGTGGCAGACTTGATTTATAGCTAAACTAAAATGATATTGGATGTGATGAATGAAGATTGGATACAAAGAAGCAATTGCTAGAGATTAAAAAATAATAGGTGAATTTCAATCGCCACAAAGTAGGAAATTCAGTAAATTCGTGAGCATAAGCAACATAAGTAGAGGGCGCATAATGTACAATATGAAAGCGAAACGGCATCGTACTTATCGCTTAGACAAAAGTAAAACCGTTATATCTCGGGTTCTATGGCATTGACAAAAAAGAATGAGCACATTTTAGAAACGTCTTAATCTGGAAAATCTAGGTACCTAAAAATTTCATTCAAAATATTTTGACTTTGGACCAAATTTTGTAAAGACGTGAACTTTGATCCCCGATACCTCCCCTCCTATGATTTCAATCTTCACAAATAGGGGTTTGTTGGAAAGGTCTCGACTTCAGCTACAACATACTAGGATTTAAAGAAAATTGATAATCTAGTTTTCGAATTATTCGATTTCGAAGTTTTGAAAATTGGTTTTTTTTTTACTTTAGCGCATCTAGCGGTTGTCCTACCAAGTTATGATGTTTGGGTGAGAGATGACATTTTACGAGATCTATCTAACGATCTTTCAATAATTCAAATCAGATGGTTAGAACCGGAGTTATAGGCATTTTTAGTTTTAAAAATTTGGGCCCTAGTATCTTGGGTCTGAAAGGACCTAGGTCCTTAGGTGTTGATTCGTTGGAAAGATCTTGAGGCTAGAACATAAGACTAAAGTAACAGCCAACAAAGTGCTAGAATTTGAGGCAGATCCATGCCATAGGGGCTGAAAAAATGAGTAAAACGTTTTTTGATTGTATTCAAAATGGCGGATGAATGGGTGGGAGTTTAAATTAGACATCACCAAGTTCTAGCGGCAGTAGGATTTTTGACCTTTGGTGAAAACCGCATGTCTATATCTCTTACCGTTTCCAATTCCATTTACGAGGGACCACCGACCGACCGACCGACGGACAGAAACAAAAAAAAATTACCCCCATTTTTTCGTCAGATTTCGTCATAATCAGCCTCCCTGATGTCGTTTTAGTAGATTATGCAACATTTGATATTTGCGTGATTACAAGCATTAGCTTTAATGAAAATCCCAGATAGATAACAAGACAATATCAAAATATTAATAATAATATTTAATAATATTTCTTTTACACTCGAGCCTTTACAAATTGACTACAGTTAAGTCTTCGAGTGGCGGCTGCCGCCGTCATTCACCACAGCCTCAGCGGGACAAAACGGCAGAAAAGTCCTGCATCATTGACTGATTTGTCCCACAATACTTTACATAAATTTAATTACAAAGACTTAACTGTTTAGATACAAGAAGCACGGCAAAATGAATAAATAAATAAAGGATCTCGAGGGATTTGTTAGCGGCTTAAAATCCGAAGACTTTGTGTTGCCGCCAACAGAGTTTGGATTTTACTACACTATTTTTATGATTGACTGCATTTGTAGTGCCACAAGCGCCCAGGGAAAACTAATGAAAACCACGAAATATCTGCATTAGGTTAACCGAGAGGGGAGTGGGGAGGGGAGAAAACATAAGTTATAAGATATCAGAAAATTTAATCATTATTTTAGTTTTCAAACTGTACCCAATGAGAGAGCTTACGATATCAAAAAGTTGGCTAAATAAAATTATGTACATCACACTGATTAACAAATTTCCGGGTATATTTACTTTTACTTTCGAGTCTATTTCGCTTTTTTCTATTGTAGCGATTCCTCAGCGAATTCCTTCGCCACGCGAATTACAATTTCACACGCAATCTATTATGCAGAATGCATTGATCCGAAAAAAATTAGAAGAGCAATTGGAGAACTATAGGAAGCGTCAAGAGATAGCTCTTCATACGTCACAGGATGGCCATGTGTCTCCAGCGAGGCGTCTCAAGCCTCAAAATCAAGCAGATCCTATACCCACGCCTCTTGCTTTCACACCTACATCAGTTTTGCGTAAGATGACAGCAGACAAGGATATTGAAACGTCACAGTCTAAGGATACGACCATGTTAATCAACCATATGCCCCAACATCAACGACATGACGTGTCTATCTGTCCAGATCGTACAATGGTGTCATCTATTGTAGGAGTACCACCTAAAGGGCGCGCTATTGTTAAGGGTGGACAACAGATGCTGTACGCTTCGAGCATTGAAATGCAACAAATCCAGCAGTATCAAACACAACAGCGACCCCGCGCTCTACCACCACCTACAGGCACATTCAATAATTTTGCTCAGCAGCACTTTACGCAACAACAGCAGCAACGCCACCATCGTCCTCGTCATCAGTTTGAAACTACACTTTATAATCAACAAATGACACGACCTCGGCTGCCAAGTGAGTATTATGCATATTGTATACATAATATGCCATGCAGCTCGAAATTTTTTATTGTGCGTAGAGCATAAAAAATAACTTAAATTTTTTTTTCACTTGCAATCGTATTCCGAAGTTGAATTTGTTCAAGGTAACAAAAACGACATTTATAACTCAAACAACTTGTACAAATTCTACTTCCAGGCTAGACTTTTCTATAAACAATTAATTTAATTATTTTCTTAGCTGCTACCGATCAACGGACAGTGGTAAACTTTAAACGCGATGGAAATATGTCACCAACTAGTAATCAGCTGGCCAGATGGTTTTCTCCTGAGTTACTAGCACAAGCGTCTGCAGGCAAGCTACCATCATTAGGAGTAGGACAAGCTCTCAGTTTAGAGGAATTTGAGCGTAGTATGCAACATTCTTCTACAACAGTCCACAACTGAAATGTACGTTCATGCTTTTTCTCCTCTAAACTCATTACATCTCAAAGAGTGTAATAATTATGGTGCGAGAAATAATAGAAGTGGCGAATAATAAGGAAAGCTGATTTTTCATTATAAAACCGAAAAGTAAATAATTAATACATCATAATTTATTATCTACGATAGAGATGTGCGTGTTTTTATTCTTGGGCTATTTGTAGCAATTTGATTCAAAAGAAAGTGGTTAGAGATTTATAAATATATATAATTAGATTAGATTTATTGACCACTTAGCATTTTGTATAGTCACAGCCTTTATTCAGCGGCCATCGCTGCCTTAGCTTTGATAAACAACCTCCATGTTGTATCAACAGCGGCAAAAAGACGAAAAAGTCCTTGGAAAAGGCTTATCATCAGTTGTATATTCTTTGTGTGACTTAGTGGTGATGTGGCTGAGTGTTGGTGGCCTGACAGCTACTGCTTGCTGGGGAGAGGAGCGGACAGCTAGCCGTGAAGTTGTTTGACTCTGGGAGACCTGTGACTGTGGCGCATGGTATTACAGAGGCGTGACAGAAGTTTGGAAGGGAAACACAGAAGTCATGTCTAAGCAGTCGCAAGTCATAGCGGGACTTGCAGATTAGTACCAGCTTCTCCGGAGGGTGCGAGCAGCCAAGCATTCAGGATGGCTTGTCACAGCGACACGCCTTCTCGTAGCGCATTGCTGTCGATCGTCGGTGTCAAGAAGTTGATGGACCTCTTAATGAGTTCATTCAAGTCTTTCAGCCTCACTCCTGTCATACTCGATGCCGACGAAGGGTAGGTTACGAATCTCCACGCACTTCAGGGATAAGTTCAGAAACTTGGACACGTATAAACATCTGCCTGGAAGGATTTTCCATCATTCAGGGACAGTGAGTAGTCTCTGGTACGAGCAACCGATATGACTTCAGTTAGCGATTTCTGAGTGACTCTGAGCGGTGCCATGTGAGATTCGCAAGAGTCTTCACGCATGACAAAGGCATACCCAATCCTTGACTTCGCCATCACAAAATATATAGAGCGGATCAGCTCCTCAGCGTTAACACGTTGGAGCGCAAACATCTAGGCGGCGAGTACGCGAAGAATTTCTCTAATACGCTCGATGTTTACGCGCACGTAGCTGACAGTGCTGCCACCAGATGGGACAGTTCCACGACTATCTAATCATTGGCTTACCCGTTTTTAACCAAAGTTCTTCAAGTCAGTTTTGTAGCTCGTCTTCATGCCATTGAGTTTCGCAATCAAGACTGATAGGAAATTCGTGCCATTCATTATTAATTATTCTAGATTTCATTTTAAAAGACTGCATATATTGCACTGTATATTTCACGGAGCAATACTTAAAATGCGTTGTTCGTCTAAAAACTACTAATTGTTATGCAGATGAGTTCAATTTCGCGCCAGAATTCATTACAATAAAATTCATCGTACAGGAAAACTTAAAGAGTTATTTATGGTGAAAACACAGCATTTGTCATCCGAAAATTGATAGAGGTCATCTTTTTCTTTACCACGCGTATCCTGTATTTGCTTCTTGCTCGCGCAACATAGACTGCAGATCTGCAGACACAAATTCCGCCGACTATATTGCGTGAGCAAGAAGGAAATACACGATATGCGTGGTGAAGAAAGAAATGACCTGTATCAATTTTCGGGTGACCAACGCTGTATTTTCACCATTAACAACTTTATATTTTCTTTAAAACCATGTAAGTTTGATATAATTCCATCCCAGGTAAGATAAGAATTGAAATATTTGCCACATTACGTAAGTTCTCGACGAAAGGATAACCTCACTCTCTAGAGTGAGAAAAAAGAATATAGATCGGAGTTATAACGGCTTAAATTCATAATTTTGAATGCAGTATATCTGGTTGTCAGTCAGATCCCTTGTTATTTTATGGAGCTTGAGTTTGTTCCAGTTTGCATTGGCAATAAAATAATATATAATACTTAACAATATTTACCATGAAAAAATCGATTGCGCTGCATAAAGTTCTTCCGAATGGTTTACAGACAATAGATTGAATATTTTTGCAGCTACATTGTTTGATAATCGGTATTCAAGAGGGGATCATTTGTAAATCAACTTGCGCGTGGCTATCATGAGCAGATAGTGAAGTGTGTGATGTGAATAGGATTGTTAGCAGTTTAGAAGCTTCCCCGCGTGGTGTGTTTCTAAGCGAAGAACCAAGTAAATCCGGATAGTGAAAATACCAAGAACTCATTATTTACTTTCGCTAAGACAAGCAAGCACCAATAGCAGTAGCACCGACGCGGATTGAAGGTAAACCGCTTGTGATTAATCATTAGAACCGGATCCATTATGCGAATGATGTTCATCCGGGATGTAAGGCGAGAACTTTCAACGTCTGCTGACCTAGGTACCCCCACCGAGACATTTTGGCCGGACTTCCGCTTCCGTCTCTAACCGGATATGCCATGGGGGGACTGGGTTAGTCAACCTAGGTATCCATACAATGTAATAGGGCTATTCTGAGCTGCCAGCTGACCTATCCGCTGATATATAAAACAAAATTCGAGTTTTTCTAATACCACAACACAACCCCTTTTGCACAGCAATTGAAAAAAGCACAAAGGAGTAGACAAATTTTAACCAAAATAGGTACTATGGACATTGTAATGGTATCCAGAGATTCCCATTCTTTAACGAACATCAATCGAAAAAAGATGTTTCTACGAAGTTTTCTATGCATCGACTGAACTTTATTCCAACTTTCAGTGAAAAAGTATATGATTTTTTATGTAGTGTTTGCGAACCATTACACGAATTTCTCAAGCTGTAAGAACAATATGTAAGGGGGACATTCCACTACGTTTACTGGGGCTGACGCTGAGCACATGGTCTGATCGCAGGGTTTCAAAGTCGTATTTTCAATTAATTTTGGAGTGAAAATTGTTTAAGTAGAAAGACCATGACGAACACAAATTAGCGCACTAGAGTAGGTTTTTCTGCCTAGAAAAATTAGCTAATTTACTCATAAATCGAAAGCTTAATTTTGCTACAAAGATACATTTGTATTGCATTTCACAATACTGTAGTTTTTCTCGCATTAGCTTTCTGAATAAGCATTTTTACATTTTTTGCCTCTTCCTTCTTTTCCTGCTGCTCGCTGCTGCTGTTTGCGATATAATTATCAATTAAGTGCTGTCAAGGGGAGATAATATAGCTATGGCCTGTGCACAATTTATGTCACTTCCAAAATTTGCACACATAATTTCTAACACTTCTTACAAATTTAGACTCTATGAATAGTGTGCAAAAAAAAGATTTATAATGCTGGAATAAAGCATATTTTATAAAATATCATACATACGTTTGGTGTTATTACTCGGAAAATCGAATATGAACTAAATGAAATTTTAATAGCATTTGATTAATTCAGTTTTTGAAATTACTTAAATATCATTCAATAATTTTCTGCTTGTAGTACACATTCAGATATTTTTCTTTATCAGAATCTTTCAATGGCATTGAGTATTCTCAATAAAATGAGAAGCTTTCTAAGTGCAAATTGCAGCTTTGGAGTGATATTTGATGATTATGTTTGACTGTATCTTTTTTTTACCACTAAGCTCCAGATATTTGGTTTTCATAGAGCACAATATCACTAATAAGTCGATTATTACATGTGAAATGATTTAGATTTTATTTAAAATTAAGTATGTTACCTCACCTTGAAAGTATATCAGGATGTGGTCCTGTTTATTAGAAATTCAATTTATTAACTTTTGGTTATTTCACTCAAAGAAGTTCGAGGCGGTTAACGACATATTGCAAATATTTTAGCACTTAATGTAAAACTTTTTTAAGCTATATACTGCCGCGCCTCTTTCGATATGACTTTAGATCATATTATCTCCATTTTGAATTGAAAAAAAAAACTTCTTTGAGGTACGTTGTTAAAAGGCAATTCATTCAATTTTAGTGAACCGACTCTCACTTTATTCGCTTTTTGTGCAATTCATTTTGGATTTAAATCCTTTCTATCCGATAACTATGCTTGTCCCCCGATATCAACATGCGTAATATTAAGATTTCATTTGAAATTTAAACAATTGTTAAAGGCATTAGCACATCATTCGAATCATACTTCACTGGTATAAAGTCACCTCACCCATCATCAAACTTAGAATAACATATTGTTACATTTCAGCACGTACATGAAAATCACACTGCCGATCTAATGATGTTGCGCATATTTTTCCTCTTGAACAGATGCATCAACGATAACGTGCTACAAACTTGGACCACTAGAAATAATTTTATGGTCAGCCGAAACTATCAGAAATATTTCATATAATTTCATTCAGCATTGCACATCATTATACATAGAATTGAGCAGAATGTTTTATAATTAAAAACATGTGATAAGCGAACGCCAAGGCTTGCTTATGGGTGAGATGGGCGACGCCACCAACTTGAAATGTCATAGACACGATTTGAAGCTAAGCTAAAGTGATATTGGGTTTAATTTATTTATTATTTGTTTAAATATACTTTCACTAGCACAAATAAAGTTCCTTAGTTTGTTATATACTTGATTAAAATTATTGTATATTGGATTGGTTCACGATGTGCGATGCTTCACTAAAAAGTACGTACTAATCGGTGGATTTCGATCGCCAGAAAGTAGAAATTCATAAGATTCGTGAGCATAAGTAGCATAAAAAGAGGGGACATGCACCGGTGAGCGCATAATGTACAATATAACACGCTATATTTCGGGTTCTATGGCAATGATAAAAAGGTATAACGCCATTTTAGAGACGTCTCAATCAAAGGCAATCAAAGTATCTACAAATTTCATTCAAAATATTATGACATTAGCCAAAATTTTGTACTTAAATTTATACAGAGATATATGCCGGTAAAGAGTGAACTTTCAAGCCCCATGTCTCCCTTCCTATCATTTAAATCTCTATATATGGAGGTATATCTCCATATATATGGGGATTCGTTGGAAAAGTTTCGACCTTAGCAACAACATGCTGAAATTTAAAAAAAATGTACAGTCTAGTTTTTGATTTTTCAAGCTAGAATTAATCTAAAATCGGTTTTTAACTTTAGCACTCCTATTGGTAGTTATATTAAGTGATTGCATTTTACGAGATCTTTCTAATGAACTTAAAATTATTCAGATCTGATAATTAGAACCGGAGTTATACCAATTCAAGTATACAAAATTTTGACCTTAAATTCTAGAGTCTGGAAGGACCTAGGGACTTAACGAGTGATTCGTTGGAAAGGGCTTGACGCTCGCTATAATATACTAGAATTTGAGGCAGATCCATGCTATAGGGGCTGAACAAATGAGAAAAACGTTTTTTGGTTGTATTCAAAATGGCGGATGAATGGGTGAGAGGTTAAATTTAATATCACCAAATTCTAGCGGCAGTAGGATTTTTGACCTTTGGTGAAAACCGCATGTCTATATCTCTTACCGTTCAGGTACTACAAATCCATTTACGAGGGACGGACCGACCAACGGACGGAAACCTAAAGAAAGCAAAAAATGACCCCTATTTTTTAGGCTGATTTCGTCATAATCAGCCTCCCTGATGTCATTTTAATCGATTTTGCGAAATTTACTCTTTGCGCGATTACAAATAGAGCCGGGCTTCGGCTAGCTGAATATGAAATTCCGAAATTATATTTCTAATGTTTGTTATCAATAGTCTCAATACAAAGAGGAGTTAACGAATTGGTACTTGTTCATGCTAGTCCTTACTTGATTTCTTGAGATAATTTTGATGATTTTGGGTCAAAGTTAACGATTTTCCCTCCCCAAATCTCCGCGACTTATCGACAGATTTCAATTATGTCTTTACCAAAAGGCGTGTCTCGATGCACTTAAATAGAATCACTTCACCTTCGATCTGTGGCGTCATCAAGGACGCTAACACAATATATTAATTGAACTTTTGTATATCGGCGAATCGGTTATGATTTCTCTTTCATATCATTTTTAGTTTGTTGCTGTTTAGATTTTAACATCTCCATTGAATTCTGTGTAACTATGATCTTCTTTGTATGATCCTTATAAGCTTGGTCTTGCTTGAAAAGTTATGCAAGATTCTACAACCTCTTATAAGAACAGAAGTTCATTTGACTACCGCTTAAAGCGCTAATGTTAATATTCATATTGTTTTACACCTGTAAAATCAAAAAAATTGTTCATGACTTAAACTATATCGGTTAAATTTTTAAGATATCTGGTAATCCAATTCAAATTGTTCAAAATAGGGTCTTTTGTCGAAACCATATATAGAATAAGTAGTAATGCTATTATTTTTATATGAATATTCCAACACATTTTTAGTTTTCAAATGTCCAATTTGATGTTGGCCACAGAGAGAAAGCACCGGTTAGCGTTGAGTAAATTGCAGACTTGAATATTGCGATTTTTCAGGGAATCAACGGAAGTATCGTGAAGATGTACATATTGCAAATAAATACAGAAAAATCAGAAGAAATTTAAAACAAACATGATAAATATGAACTTAATAAAAACATGTATGGTCATATATATGTTAATATCACCGAGTATATTAGACTTCTTTGGAAAATACGCGGTTGTCGTTTTTCTTATTAGGAAAACTCGGGTATTTTAATTTTTCCGTGCATAAGTTGAATAAGGCGATTACTTTGCTATTTAGAGCGAATAACGAGACACAATAAATGGAATTTGATCACTGGTTTACTCTTTCACTCATATGTAAGAACAGACGTATGCATCTACAATACAGCGGTCACATTTAGGGCGGACAGTCCTGATTTGTTAAAAATAAAAACCTGGAAAAAAAATTGCGAGTTTTAAGGAATACTTTCTTTCTCAATACAATTCCTAATAAAAATGGCTCTTTTACTACTTTTTAGGGACAATCATGGAAGCTGTAGAACGTGAAGCAGACAAGAGAGAATTTGATGAACACTTCATTACATCATCTGGAGAGTCCATGGAAATGCCAGTTTTTCGTCATGAGACGCCTGTGGTAGCCAAAGAGTCAAAAATTCCAGATCGAGGAACATGGGCATCCAAACTGGATTTCATTCTATCCGTGGTAGGCTTAGCCATCGGTCTGGGTAACGTGTGGCGTTTTCCATATTTGTGCTATAAAAATGGTGGCGGGGCTTTTCTCGTACCATATCTGCTGACGCTCATCCTCGCTGGAATTCCAATGTTCTTTATGGAGCTTGCACTCGGTCAAATGCTCACGATAGGTGGTCTAGGTGTTTTCAAAATTGCGCCAATCTTTAAAGGAATTGGTTATGCTGCTGCTGTCATGTCATGCTGGATGAACGTATACTATATTGTAATTCTCGCCTGGGCAATTTTCTATTTCTTCATGTCTCTGAGAGCTGATGTGCCCTGGCGCACATGCAACAACTATTGGAATACTCCAAATTGTGTAAATCCATACGAACGCAAAGATCTTCTTTGTTGGGAGCGCGTCAATACCTTGAATGGCACCACAGCACGTATCTGTGCACTACCCTCAGGAAATGTTACGGCTCAAGCACTCACAGACCCTGTGAAGGAGTTTTGGGAGAGAAGGGCGCTACAGATTAGTTCGGGTATCGAGGAAATCGGTCACATACGATGGGAATTAGCTGGAACACTGTTGCTCGTTTGGATTCTCTGCTACTTTTGCATCTGGAAGGGAGTACGGTGGACAGGAAAGGTAGGATTATAATTATCGTTGACAAATGCACTAATATTAATTTAAATATTTATTTATAACATAAGCATAGAAACATATTTTTGTTGTGGTACAATGTTTAAAATTGATTAATAAACAATTGAGATATTAACCGGTAAGTTCGTTTGATTTTAATTTCATAAAATTTTGTATAATTACCTACTAGGTCGTGTACTTTACTGCTCTTTTCCCCTACATCTTGCTGTCTGTGCTACTCATCCGAGGCATTACACTTCCTGGTGCTACAGAAGGTATAAAGTTTTACATCATTCCAAACTTTTCACGTCTCAGTGAATCCGAAGTATGGATCGATGCCGTCACCCAAATATTCTTCTCATATGGTCTTGGCCTTGGCACACTTGTGGCGCTTGGATCATATAACAAATTTACGAACAACGTATACAAGTAAGTGATATCAAATTATCTACAAATTTAAAGCAATTGTTACTTTATTGAAATAAGTTTTTAAAATAACCAGACAAAAGTTCAAAAACTGTACTGTTAGTACAATAGATAGATAAAACTTTTCATAAATTGACTGTTTCATCAATAATAGGATACTCAAAATATTAAAATTTCATCAGTAATAAAGCGAATTAAATCATTTTCGGAGAAAACTACATGAAAAGAAATTATGGAAAATATGTTAACTAAATTTGTCAATATCTTTAGTTACACTATATTGAAATCACTTTGTCCTAATGAACAAATTTTCTATTAAACATTTGATTTGCTTTTTAAAGTTGTTTATCAAATAAAACAAGGCAATATCATTATTGGTGTTTAAAAGCATGATTATTCTAGTAAATTACGTTTACTACATATATTCAGATAGTTGGAGTGATAATTGGATTAATAAGAATTTTTTTTAATAAGAATTAAGTGAAAAAGTCATGTTTGAAAGGCCTCGAAAATTTAAACTTTGGGCACGGCATATCGAAATAGTGTTTGTGTCTTGTCCTTTTGCACTTTTCCATCGCGAAAATTTTAATTTAACTTGTTGTAAGTTAAAGTTATTGTACTTAACTTTATTGCATTTACAGGGACGCCCTAATCGTGTGCTCGGTAAACTCGAGTACATCAATGTTTGCAGGATTCGTGATTTTTTCGGTTGTAGGCTTTATGGCTCACGAACAACAGCGACCAGTAGCTGAGGTAGCTGCCTCTGGGCCGGGTCTAGCTTTCCTCGCCTATCCCTCTGCTGTACTACAACTTCCCGGAGCGCCATTATGGTCTTGCCTTTTCTTTTTCATGCTATTACTTATCGGTTTAGACTCACAATTTTGCACAATGGAGGGTTTTATCACAGCAGTAATCGACGAGTGGCCACAGCTATTACGCAAAAGAAAAGAGATATTTATAGCAATCGTATGCGCACTTAGCTACCTCGTGGGATTATCTTGTATCTCTCAGGTACTGTGGAGTTTTTTTTTAAATTTCATTTTACAGTAAATTTTTTTCAGGGTGGAATGTACGTTTTCCAAATACTTGACTCTTACGCTGTTTCTGGATTTTGTTTGTTATTCCTCATTTTCTTTGAGTGTATCTCCGTTTCATGGGCATTTGGCGTCAATCGATTCTATGACGGTATAAAGGATATGATTGGGTATTACCCTCTAGCTTGGTGGAAGTTCTGTTGGGCTATTACCACTCCCTGCATTTGCATTGTAAGTATTTTATATTTTATTATGTTTCCAATAAAAAAGTATAAATTACTCTGTTACTAATCAGTATGTTATAAATTTATATGTTAGATTTCTGCCAAAATTATATTTCGACTGGAAGGTAATATTTTTCGAATTAACTGAAACGAATTCAATTGCCTTTTATTTGTACGACATTTCTGATCTTTATTTAATTGTCTGCACATCGATCACTTTTTTATGATAGATTATGGGGCCATTTTTTCCTTTTTGAATTAGCTGCCTCAGTGTCTTAGATACTGTAGCTATCGGTTATATAGAGATGATCTGCAGATGTAATATTTCGAAGAACTAATATGCCCCCGTATTTGTTTTTGAGGCATTGAATGATACTATTGGTTAGATTAGTCAGTGAACTGCTGATACTGGCCTAGCTTTAAACTCCAAAAGGTCATATGCTCTAATCATTCACACGCCTAACATACGCCCTGTCCCAACTATAGTATTCTTGGTTGAAGTCATTCTTCATTTTGAACTTGTAATTTTTAATATCTCTCTGTCTTGGTCAGATCACATCTCTCAGATTAACTGTAGAGAGGTCTTTCTTATCTTGCATATGCAGCGACGTCTCTAATACTTCACACCCACTGGCACTAAACCCTTGTTAGTCTTGATGCTCATAATCCTCTTCTTCGTCTATGAAGTGAAGCTCTTCTTTGTTGAGAGAATTATCTTATGGAACACGTTGCAGCGCGAGTGGAAGGGAAAACTGATACTCCAAAGTACCACCACTAATACAAGACAATATAATGTCCTCATTTTCTTGATACATTATGTCACAATCATCAGTACTTGTTAATCCGTTAGTCGAGATAATAATTTGTCCTACAAACGCAATAAATTAAGTTAAATTGATTTTCATAACATAATAGATGTAGATTTCAGTGTAATTTCGTAGTAGAAGTAATAGTCAACACATTTTTATTGCAGGGTGTATTTATTTTCAACCTTGTGCAATGGACACCTATAAAATATCTTGACTATGAGTACCCATGGTGGTCACATGTTTTTGGCTGGTTCACTGCTCTGTCTTCCATGCTGTGTATTCCTGGTTACATGATATGGTTATGGATGAACACAGAAGGTGACCGAAGTCAGAAAATTCGCCTAATCGTGCGGATAGACGACGATGTGACAACGCTGAGACAGAAAATGCAGCAAGATGCGCAGAAGAAACATGGTATCATTTGAACGAGCGTTTCATTAAAATCAGTTACTTTAGGATACGAGAACCACCTCGCGATAGAGGAAATAATTTAATAAAATGCATTGTGTTGCGATATTGGAGTTTTTTTTTATTAAAATTAATGAATCTCTTGTTTTATATACCATAATATAGGGGAGAGCAGAACAGAATTTTTATAGTAAGTGTGTAACTGAAATACTGAGATTCATTAGACGGCCCTAAAAAGAATTGTTGTGCATTGAGGCACACAACTAACATCTGCAACAAGCTTAATCGGTGCACCATTGCATTTTATCTAGATCCAAGTGTTTTTTCTCAAAGGGACCATTATGACCTAATTACGAAACCACCCATGTAATCAAGTATTAAATACGCCACTGGAAAAAAGATCCTTTTCCACTTCATACCACCAAGAAACCCCATTTCGGCGACAGTGAAGGCATTTAACGGACTTAGCGTATAGTATGATCTTTGGATGGGACTTCAAACGAATGGATAGAGTTCGGATTTTGCTCGAATGCATTTCCAGATTCTTATTGTCAAAATTCGAACCAATTTTTTCTCCTCATCGTTGTCTATCTTTTTAATCCTTTTCACTCCACACTTTCTTTTCTCGTTAGTCTGAATTTACAGAAGAGTTGTGGAAATTCATTCTGGAAATGATGAAATCACCCGCAAAGGTGATGTTATCACCGCGCAAGCTTCCTCCGAGATCTGAAAGAGAGCTATCATGAAAATAGTGTTAAATCTGAAAAATAACCAAATATAACGGTTCTTAAAGTTATTAGTATGGCCTCGATTATTTGTGGGATTTCACTCCATCAACGCCAAGCCACACTCCAATGGAGAAGACTGGAATCAAAGTGACAAGTTCAGCTATTTAGAATTTTTATTCTCTCTTTATCTGCACTTCTGGTGACGAACGCCACGCACACAATGTTCATATTAAAAAGACCTTTAAGGCGAGAAATAAATTTGAAATGGGCAACGAAAACGTCTTTCTGCCAGGATATAATTTTCGCATCTGTTCACATACAATTCTCAGCTGTATATCATATTCGTTCACACATAGAGTCATACAGAGAAGTCATTTCATATTTTCCATACAATTTTTAGGTATCTTTTGCATTCACGCATTCGGAAAGTTACACAGAAGATTCATACAGCATTTCCATACATTGCACATTTGCTCCATCGATTATTTCTCGGTACCAATAACACTGTGCAACACTTTTCTGCCCTATTTGAAGTGTGGATTTTCTGATTCCTTGAGTAATCAGCTTTTCAACGGTACCTCACTTTTTTCCCTAGACCCTCAAGTTTTCCTTTTATAGCCTATTTTCCATTTTCCCCTATTTTCACCCACTTTGCCGCACTTATGTGTTCATATCTCGCCCAATTTTTCACGGATTTTCCTCAAATTAGGCTCAAATGATAGCTATTGAAATTACCTACTACTTTGTAAAACATTGTGAGTGTTTCAGATCACTCCTTGTTGGTCAAAAATGCTCTTTTGTGAACCACTAGGTAAAAAATTCGCCGATTTTTTTACCACTTTTTTCTAAATATCTCCGAAACGAAGAAACTTTTATGTTGGATTATTTTTCCTATGTGTAGAGCACTTCAGGAGATGCATTTCCTCCATACATGCCGAAGTGATATCTCTTCTATATCTGCCGGAAAAACGAGGTTTTTCCTGGACAAGTTTTGCTTTTTTATGCTACGCGCACCCGCTAAAAAATTGAAAGAAGGTATATTTTGCTGTTTACGCACTCATTTAGATGATGATAATGCTTAGATTTTAAAACAAAAGAGAAAAAAGGCCAATATCTCGACTTTTTAGCTATTTTACGTGAATTTTCGGTCTTAATATCAACAACTCCATAAAAAACACAAAAAAATTCACGTAAAATAGCTAAAAAGTCGAGATATTGGCCTTTTTTCTCTTTTGTTTTAAAATCTAAGCATTATCATCATCTAAATGAGTGCGTAAACAGCAAAATATACCTTCTTTCAATTTTTTAGCGGGTGCGCGTAGCATAAAAAAGCAAAACTTGTCCAGGAAAAACCTCGTTTTTCCGGCAGATATAGAAGAGATATCACTTCGGCATGTATGGAAGAAATGCATCTCCTGAAGTGCTCTACACATAGGAAAAATAATCCAACATAAAAGTTTCTTCGTTTCGGAGATATTTAGAAAAAAGTGGTAAAAAAGTCGGCGAATTTTTTACCTAGTGGTTCACAAAAGATCATTTTTGACCAACAAGGAGTGATTTGAAACACTCACAATGTCTTACAAAGTAGTAGGTAATTTCAATAGCTATCATTTGAGCCTAATTTGAGGAAAATCCGTGGAAAATTGGGCGAGATATGAGCACATAAGTGCGGCAAAGTGGGTGAAAATAGGGGAAAATGGAAAATAGGCTCTAAAAGGAAAACTTGAGGGTCTAGGGAAAAAAGTGAGGTACCGTTGAAAAGCTGATTACTCAAGGAATCAGAAAATCCGCACTTAAAAAAAGGGCAGAAAAAATGTGATTTTTGTTGCCTAGTATAAGCAATTCATTTTTTAGTGATAAGTTTAGAAGTCATATTACTTTTCACCTACCTTATGTAAAAATTTTCTCTGGGTAATGTAAGGAAAAAAATAAAATTGATTTAAAAAATAATTTTGCACCACCAACATCATGGTTTTCTTCTGTCATATCTGTACTAAATTAGAACTGAGATAGCGTACAACTATTGCCTGTAATGAAATGATAAATCTGCCGCAAAACAGGGAAAACTAATATAGCATGATTCCACACTATTACAATGTTCCAAAACCTAAATCCAAACTTCATATGAATGAAAAATCCCAAAGAAATATATTCAAGTGTGTTAATGCAGTAATACTTCGTATATCAGAACTGAACTTGGTACTGATACTATAAAAAAGAGTTGAGATTTGAAGGTCTGTCAGCCTGTCTCTTAATTGTGATAAATGTTATGGTAAGTAGTTTCTGTATGACCATCAAAGAAGTGGGGAAAGTAAATTCTGAAAATCAATTGAAATTTTCTCAGAAATTTGAACCACTGATTATTGATTTGGGAAAATAACACTTGTGAACTAAACATATTCCTTATAGAAATAATTATAAAATAACATTTTCCAACATATTTAGAGTTGAGTTAAGAACAGTTCTGATTTCATTTTCGAAGTTATAACATTTTTTGAATTCACAAGACCATTGAGAATTTGTTCCTATTATTTTCCTCTATATCTTTTTAATGTAATAATGCCTTACATGTCTAAATTCCGTTACTATTATTTCTTTTTCCTATAAGAACATCCGTTTTTTCCCATTGATAATAAATGACTAAATAACAACAACAAACAAACGGTGTGCTTCTTAGAACATTACACTGCCGTCTCGGTGTGACTGTGAGAAGAGAGTCGTTCGACGTCAATCTCTGGGATGGTGAGTTCGTCTGGTATGTTGTCTGCATATTCAATGGATGATGTTTGAGATAGTCGCTTGCTGAGCGATGACTGTTTTCGAAGCACCTCGGCCAGAGTTGTGTTAGCGTGCTCGCCGTAGCGTGCATCCAGACCCTGCCTAAAGGCGTTCACCACGCGAATCTACCGCAATCACCAAGACAAGAGTAGGTGTGCAGAGAGATAGAGAGAAAAAAGTTATAAGAGATTGTGTCCACTACTCACCTGTCACCAAATTACACGCCTGATGTCAACGAAAATTCTGCTATTTGTAAAGATTTATTTACTTAATGGTATATCAGGGTCAGAATCTCATGACGATCAAGCGTGTGCGAGGTGACCCACTTTATAGGATAATATAATGTCTCTTCCTCTCTATCTCTCTCTATCTCTCAGTAAGCACATTTTTAATCCCTTGTAAGTATTGGGTAATTTACAGAAAGCATATACAAGTCTAATAACAACTAGTTTTAACATGCAATATTATGCAAAAAACATGCGTAACATCTCCAGTTACTTAGTGTCATATCTTATCATATAGAGATGACACACAGATTAACATAAATTCTCAGATAGAGAAATTGAAACAGACACAGAAAGCAAAGGCAGAAAGAGACAGAGGGGGAGAGAGAGAGAGAGAGAGCGAGAGTTTGAGAGAAACACATAGAATGTACTTGTTGAATCAATTATACTATATCATATGTATAATGAAATTATATAAGAAATAAATGTTAGATGAAGGAAAAGTTTAATAAAAAATACATGTAGATGATTTTTATTTTAATACTGAGTATTTTAATTAGAATAAATTTATTTATGGTAAAATAACTTGTCATTTCTATGAAAATGCCAACAATTTTTTGCGAAATTAACAAAAATTTCAGCACGAGATCGCATGAACCAGTAGAACTTCATAACTGCAATATATTAATCTTATAAATCAACCACAATTCTATAGTCACGCGAATAAAAATTTCTTCTTAGTTTTTTTTCCAAAATGTGTGTAATTTTTTTTATCACACACATAAACACATAGTAACGTAATGTAATATTTAACAGTAGAAGCTATAAAACATACAAACTGCATGAGAGCTTTAATTCTAAGTGTGCACTTCAGAGAAACAAATTCATGTTATACACTTAAACATTTCATTTTGGCATGAAAGCTCTCATTCAGTCTTGTGGTGTAATGATTAGCATTTTGGGGTATCAACTGAGAGGCGCTGAGATAAAGAACTGACGAAGACAAGTGGTTGGATAATTTTTTACGAGCTAGAATTCATTTTAGACCTTAGACTGAGGAAATTAGGCAAAGGATGATGTTCTCCATAAAATTCTAATTTTATTTAGAAATAACATCTTTCGCTGGAGATATTTCAATTGTAATAAATTATCGTACCAAGTTTTTGCACATTAACTTAGTTTGTATTGAATGCTACATGGGACAGGGATATAAATACAAAGTATATTAGTAATTTTCCTAGAATGCAAAATAGTTGATAATATTGCAATTGAAATCTCATTTAAATTTTCAAGAAAGCAATTAAAAGGGCCACTGCGTAGAAAGGTGCATAGAGAGTCAAATATATCTCTACTAAAGCTTATCTGTTAAGTTACAGAACTCAATGAAAATTCATAAGTTTTCTTTTCAAAGTTAATAAACAAGAGAATTTAAAAGGTCAAATACAATTTGATTACAACGTATCATCTTCTGGAAAATACATGGAATTCATGGACTAAATATTTTTGTACTAAACTCCCCCACTCACCGCTATACTCTACACGGAAGCAATGATGTCGAACCAAAAGCTATGCGGTGCAAGTATATGTTCTCTCCTTATATATTTGGCATAAAGATTAAATTACATAGAAAAATTCAACAAAAACAAATGAAAATAAAAAAAAGATTTGTGTAAAGACTATTCAATTTTGTTATTGGGCAACAGAGTTTTGGCATTCCTTAATGTTTGATATTGGTTTAAACAATATCAAGTGTGTCTTAATATCTTTTAAAATTGAATTTTTTGGCGGATTTACCTACATTCTTTTTCTATCTATGCACCGACTCTGCTTTTATCCAAAACCTTGTGCTTTTTATGTACATATAACAGAGCAGAACAAAGAAAAATTTGTGAAAGAAACACTACCCAGCTCTGTATTTAAATTTAAGAAATTATAAGAGATAAGTAACTCGTTTGGAAGGATTGAAGTGAATTTGTAGGATAAGCTATAGTGTTCCAATTGTCATAAATCTTGTTTTAGTCAAAAATCAAATAAAATTTGACTGGGACAGCCTTGGACACCCTATTTCAAACTTTACCGGAAACACATTTGTGCACTATTCTCGAGTTCCTCCATTTTTACGTATCTACCTGTCATTACTATCACCTCTGGAACAATAATATGCATGAGTAAAAACTACTGTGTCATTTTCCAGCTTAGAATAGAAATAAAAATGTATTCGTTAAACTATTGAAAACGTCGAAGTGGCGTCTAAACATGTTCAAAGAGCGTAGAGCTGCTATATCTAAAATATTCGCTCAAACTGAGAATTTGAGTATCCTAAACGATTAGGCGCTTTAGGGGTTTTACACACATGGCCTAATCTGAGAAGAAACTTAGTCAGTTCATATCAACATCCAGTTCCGTACATACTAAGCTTTTCCTCGTTCACATTTGTATGCATGAAATTAAACTTAGACTTTTTTACGCCGTGATTTGTAGTATAAAGAATGTGTTCTTTTTTATGAATGTAGAATGCTATTTGAACTTCAATTTTCCTGAATTTTCGT